ACTCCCATAACATGAATGATTACTTCTTGATATATATAGAAAAACGAATATGTACTAGTGGTTTGTCAAGATGGAAGGGTGAACCCGAAACCTAAGATATATATATATATATATATATATATATATATATATATATATATATATATATATATATATATATATCGAAAGCTAATGTAGAATAAGATTCATAACCTGACTACACTGAAGGAAATTAGCGGAGCTAAGAGGTGTAGTACATCCATCGGTCATATAATAACCCATATTAACTATGAGAAGGCAATATAGTTAGATACTCTCTCAAAAAGCCTCTCTTGATATACTCCACTACAGTCACCAGTACAATTTCATCCACAAAAATATTACCATCGAAGAACTAGTGTTGAAGACGGATGAAAGAAAGCTGGGGCGGCCAGACCAAAACGTGGTATCAGTCCATAAAGTCACTAACTTCCGGTTTGAGCCATGTTGGTAGATGCAGACTACTTGGTTGGGGTCTGCGCGTTTATCTTAACCAATGGTTGGAGACTCTGTATGACATGGCACAGAACCGATCACAACAGCGTAGGTGTATAAACTCTGTCCTGCCTTGAACCGTGAGATTAAAATTACTTTATATCTCCCTTTCTATGAACTAATTCACTCTGCCTGTATCATATCTTTATATGCAATCCTTCTTTATATATTACTACCACCGAAGAAACTATTGTGAATTTGGTGTTTGTATTGTTGTGCTAATAAGGTGTGGCAACTTGGACCGTTGTATATATGTACCTGGTCCTACTTTGTAACTGACTGACTGGCATGTTTATCAAAGGGTAAATAAACTATTAGATCAAAAGTGCGTACTCTCTCCAAAATCTCTGGTGTTTCAATTAATTTGTGGATTGTTCGGAAAGCATCAAAACACCTACATATATAATTTTAAAGGTAAGTAAAACTTCATAATTACCTATTCATATCCCCGTTCCATGTTTCAAAATCAAAACTTGAATTAATGTTCTGAACATCGCGGTTGGTAATTGATTCACGCTTCAAAAACGCCGAACTAATACTCCCGGAAAGGTGGGCATGCAACTCCTAATCATTAATATATGTGTAATCAAATCTACATACAATTTTCGGTAAATTGTAGTAAAAACTGTTCATGCCGACTTTTTAAGTCCACTAAATGCTTTGTGATCACTGTTGGCTGAGAAACGTGAAACGATAAATGGAGATGAGTAAGAGTTCGTGACTAACAAAATTAAATGTCCAGATCAATACTACTAAAAGTGCGCTTCAGTTATAAGCAATGTAAATACATTCCAGGCTTAATGGTGATTAACTCCGAGGCATATCACTTAACACCTTCAATTGTTGGTTTATATCATCAGGAATTCAATGGCTGATGTAACCTTTTTCTTTGATCACAGTCGGAAATGACTAAGCCAATGAGATCTCAACCTCGGGGTTGAGTAACAAGAAAAGGATATGGAGCCAGTCCATAGCCACTAATTGCTGGTTATATATATATATATATATATATATATATATATATATATATATATAACTTCCTTTAACAGTAAGACTATAATTTATGGACGACCTTCGAGCGACGCTAAAGTAACACTGAGAATGTCCATTTAATAATTAGGACCAAATGAGAGTCATAATCCAGTGCGAGGAATTAGAATTGTGATTTGAAGTTCATGGTTAATGTCAGGAATTAGATTAAGGGTTTTTATCACGAACTGACGTTAGCTACAACGCCAAAACTGTACTTAGCGGATGAGTGAATTTCGCGCCAAAACCCGAGACCTGTTGTCTTATACCTCAAATGGTCTGTAGTGGTAAATAAATCCTCACAATAAATAGCTCTGTAAATCCTCGACATTGGGCGCTGACCACATTAGTTTCAATGGACTCACTTAGCTGAAGGCGCTCGGTCACGTATCCACACCAGATCACGAGTGGGAACGCTGTGATCAACTTCTCCTGCAACCGTTAGCCAGTTTAGATCAGTCACTTGTCGATATATTGATAGCTTATCAAATACATCTTCGGACCTCTTTGCTTCTGATTTCACTGGGTGTGCACGTTTTGACTATAGAAGTTGTTACTGGTCAAGGTGTTGTCAAACTCCAAAATACTTGTGTCATCTTTAGTCATGAGCCCAGTGTGATCTGATACACCAACTCGTTAACTGTGATTCTGTCCCATTTCAGAACTTTATATATCATTTCTTTATTTTAATTTTTATATATTGCGGTATTTTTTCGCATTATTGGACATTCCCCCCCCCGTTCATTCCTATACTTTATATTCGTCATTACTGAACAGACTCTTAAGTTACTTAAGATCAATACTCCTACACAACCCTCATTCCAGCTAATGCCATTCTGGCCTGACAAAATCGAAGCCTTACTCTTCTACTCAGAGGCTAACTTCTACAAGCACGGCGTGACCGGTCCTTGTGCACGATTCTTTGCAGCAGTAAAGACACTATCACCACATATTCAACAGGTATGTCGCACCTAGCATATTTACTAGTGACGTTTTGGGGCCTTATGAAACTCTGAAAAGATCTATTCTTAAACGCAGAGACCGAACCAGTCGACAAAAAGGTGGGATCAATCCCTCAATAACATTGATATGCAACATGGGTCAGTACGAACATGTTGTTACGAATCAGAGAGGTAATTGATCAAAGTACTTTAAGAACCATCCGGCCATCGAACAGCTAATGGGCATTACCCTTGCACATGATCCCTGAACTGCTCATTTACTGAACGACACTTCGACTATTCGGGAAATTCGTGGATCCTTCGTCGATTTCAAGGAATCGCTATCTAACTCCTACACAACCACCATGACAAATGCTGTGCGTTCAGTTTAACCTGTTTACACCATATATCAGTCGGCTGATGTTATCGTCTGGTTAGTCTTACAACTTATTCACACGTTTTCAAATGTCGCGATCCATTACAGTGAACCATAGAAACGGCATACGAAGGATTCTTAAAAATATTGCAGCGCTAAGCTATGTACTATATCATCTATACAGACGAAACTAAAGAAACATCAGTATCGACCGTCTTAAAGCCGTTTACCTAGAGGGGAACTGTAAATACGTTTACATTTTTCCCGAACAAACGGACGAATTAAAACTCACAACTGCTATGACCTCCATGATTATTAACGACCACTTCAAAACCTGTCTGATATCCGACAATTGACTCAAAATAACAATCTCTGAAAGAAGGATGAGACTTCTAAAACACTGGATGTGAGGTATTGTCTTATTTTTAATTTCGTCTCGCCTCGTGCATCCCGCAACTATTTGGCTGTAGTCTCGACGTTTCATATTATTGTGTCAAATTTTGAAAAAATCGTTTTTGCGATGTTTACATATAGGTATATTGAGTGTTTAGTAAAACAATAATAAATCCTCATTTCAAAATTTTCCACACCTTCGCATGATATATGCATGCACACATACCGGATTTTTTCACGTCTTATTTCCTTATACAATTAAAAATGTATTGCGATATTTAATTACGTCTTCATTCCTTTCTTTTGCAGGACGACCGATAATTTTCATGGGACGTTTCTTATTGCTATGTTGTACTACATGGCTTTCTATATTAGTGAACGACGACCGGATGCTGATGGACATAGCAAGGTATCAGATTGTGTGTATGCCAACGACACTTGTCATGGTTAACCTTCTTACTGACCTCCATTGCTCGTGATTCCTCACCAGAATGTTCTGCCTTTGATGAGTGACTCTTGAAGTAGTACTTCGTGATAGGTTACAAGTACGATTGATTTACCATAGCTACGTAGGCTACTCATTGTGTTAGATGCCATGATCAGGTTACCGATAATCCCTCTGTAGACAGTAGAAAATTGTCCTTTACAGTAACGTTATTACTCAGACAGAGAGTTCCTTAACCTTGTATTCTACTACATAACACTGTTTTTCAGTAGCATCAAGATCGTCCCGATTGTCAGCATGCTCATTTATCTTCTGATAAACTGAAGTATATCACTGAAATGAGCTCGGCTCCTAGTAGTGGCCACTGGTTTCCAGGTTTTCTGTAGAAAGTACTTACTTAAGGTTAAAAGAAGACGTAGGATACCTGTTGTTTCTCTGGCGTATGAAAGAACGTTATTTGTGACCATTAATCCACTAAATGCTTTGTGATCACTGTTGGCTGAGAAACGTGAAACGATAAATGGAGATGAGTAAGAGTTCGTGACTAACAAAATTAAATGTCCAGATCAATACTACTAAAAGTGCGCTTCAGTTATAAGCAATGTAAATACATTCCAGGCTTAATGGTGATTAACTCCGAGGCATATCACTTAACACCTTCAATTGTTGGTTTATATCATCAGGAATTCAATGGCTGATGTAACCTTTTTCTTTGATCACAGTCGGAAATGACTAAGCCAATGAGATCTCAACCTCGGGGTTGAGATATATTGATAGCTTATCAAATACATCTTCGGACCTCTTTGCTTCTGATTTCACTGGGTGTGCACGTTTTGACTATAGAAGTTGTTACTGGTCAAGGTGTTGTCAAACTCCAAAATACTTGTGTCATCTTTAGTCATGAGCCCAGTGTGATCTGATACACCAACTCGTTAACTGTGATTCTGTCCCATTTCAGAACTTTATATATCATTTCTTTATTTTAATTTTTATATATTGCGGTATTTTTTCGCATTATTGGATATTCCCCCTCCGTTCAGTCCTATACTTTATATACGTCATTACTGAGCAGAACACGTTTTGTAGCTAATGTCAGTTGGTGATAAAAACCCTTAATCTAATTCCTGACATTAACCATGAACTTCAAATCACAATTCTAATTCCTCGCACTGGATTATGACTCTCATTTGGTCCTAATTATTAAATGGACATTCTCAGTGTTACTTTAGCGTCGCTCGAAGGTCGTCCATAAATTATAGTCTTACTGTTAAAGGAAGTTATATATATATATATATATATATATATATATATATATATATATATATAACCAGCAATTAGTGGCTATGGACTGGCTCCATATCCTTTTCTTGTTACTCAACCCCGAGGTTGAGATCTCATTGGCTTAGTCATTTCCGACTGTGATCAAAGAAAAAGGTTACATCAGCCATTGAATTCCTGATGATATAAACCAACAATTGAAGGTGTTAAGTGATATGCCTCGGAGTTAATCACCATTAAGCCTGGAATGTATTTACATTGCTTATAACTGAAGCGCACTTTTAGTAGTATTGATCTGGACATTTAATTTTGTTAGTCACGAACTCTTACTCATCTCCATTTATCGTTTCACGTTTCTCAGCCAACAGTGATCACAAAGCATTTAGTGGACTTAAAAAGTCGGCATGAACAGTTTTTACTACAATTTACCGAAAATTGTATGTAGATTTGATTACACATATATTAATGATTAGGAGTTGCATGCCCACCTTTCCGGGAGTATTAGTTCGGCGTTTTTGAAGCGTGAATCAATTACCAACCGCGATGTTCAGAACATTAATTCAAGTTTTGATTTTGAAACATGGAACGGGGATATGAATAGGTAATTATGAAGTTTTACTTACCTTTAAAATTATATATGTAGGTGTTTTGATGCTTTCCGAACAATCCACAAATTAATTGAAACACCAGAGATTTTGGAGAGAGTACGCACTTTTGATCTAATAGTTTATTTACCCTTTGATAAACATGCCAGTCAGTCAGTTACAAAGTAGGACCAGGTACATATATACAACGGTCCAAGTTGCCACACCTTATTAGCACAACAAAACAAACACCAAATTCACAATAGTTTCTTCGGTGGTAGTAATATATAAAGAAGGATTGCATATAAAGATATGATACAGGCAGAGTGAATTAGTTCATAGAAAGGGAGATATAAAGTAATTTTAATCTCACGGTTCAAGGCAGGACAGAGTTTATACACCTACGCTGTTGTGATCGGTTCTGTGCCATGTCATACAGAGTCTCCAACCATTGGTTAAGATAAACGCGCAGACCCCAACCAAGTAGTCTGCATCTACCAACATGGCTCAAACCGGAAGTTAGTGACTTTATGGACTGATACCACGTTTTGGTCTGGCCGCCCCAGCTTTCTTTCATCCGTCTTCAACACTAGTTCTTCGATGGTAATATTTTTGTGGATGAAATTGTACTGGTGACTGTAGTGGAGTATATCAAGAGAGGTTTTTTGAGAGAGTGTCTAACTATATTGCCTTCTCATAGTTAATATGGGTTATTATATGACCGATGGATGTACTACACCTCTTAGCTCCGCTAATTTCCTTCAGTGTAGTCAGGTTATGAATCTTATTCTACATTAGCTTTCGATATATATATATATATATATATATATATATATATATATATATATATATATATATATCTTAGGTTTCGGGTTCACCCTTCCATCTTGACAAACCACTAGTACATATTCGTTTTTCTATATATATCAAGAAGTAATCATTCATGTTATGGGAGTGAAATGAGTACCGATAGTTTGTATATATTTTCAGCAATTGATGCACACCATTTTTTACATCGCCCTCTCCATTCTCTTCCGTACTTGTTGTCAATGCTTAGACGGTTATTTCTATTTGTACAGAGTAAATGATCTTGCAATGAAATATCCCAATATCCGGATGTCAGGTTATTTCTTTCGTAGTCTTATTTTAATTGAGAAAAATTCTCGTTTAGTTCCTGAAGTTCATTTCATGTAATTGATTTTAATTTGACTGATAACTTAGATCTTTACAGTGTGGAGTATAATCAAGGAGTTTGTGAAACATTATGATACAGATGTATGATTTTTCACCGCGAAGAAAATGTGCGGAAAAACATCTCAACAGGATTTGTATTTGAAGTACCACAAAATGACAGTAAAATAAAAAAATATTATAAAATAATACATCAAAATTATCTATATGATTCTTCAGTTGAAATTGTTTCAGAGTATAAAAGCCTTTCTCCTGAAAATTAGGTCAAGTGACATTAGCCAGGTTCTGTTCAACTATTAAGTTCTCTAGCCACCAAATTAATCTTTCCTAGCATTAACTTTGTTTTTTTGTATTGTTTTTGTGTTCCTGACCCTTAAAAGCGTTTATTTGTACATGTTATTGATGTGACATGAATTTTCATATAAAATATTTGGGTTTTACAATAATTATTATTCGTTTCACTTGCTACACGTCTACACTAAATTTTAGGCTACAACTTCCGTTATTGAGGAATTTCATCAAGAAAATGTCATTCTTTTGGAATTGAGGACTACGTTACGACCAATTCCAACTCATCGTTCTTATTTGAATGCGGTAATCAAAGGAATGCAGAATGCACCGAGTGTACTTGATAATAAAATATATGTGACATTAATACTATCTATAGACAGATCTAAAAGTCTTGATGAAGCGTTACTCACTTTAGAGTTAGCAAAGGAATACTATTCTAATGGATTGGTATCAGGCATTGATCTCAGCGGGAATCCCCTAGTAGGTTCATCTGTTTAAAAGTTTCTAATGACTTAATTTTCATAATCTCATATTTGATTGTACTTCCTCTACTAAATTGATCCATAACTCAACCCAACAACGGTTAACCATTGACCCCGCGCATACGTAGCAAGATTTTTATTACTACGCAGTGTTTCAATTCGATGTTGTGAAGAAGTTAGTTCAACCGTTGTTGGTCGGTTACTTTTGCACTTGCAGAGATTAACGTTTTCGGTGTCGTAGGGTTTGGAAGCATTACCAGAAAAACGAACCAGGCTTAACGTCACCTTTTAAATCGCGCGGCACTCCCTTCATTTTTGCCAGAAATTATGCAAGTTGATGTGTCACTCCGTGCTCGTGGAAGTCGGCTTCTGAGTATCAGAACCAGGATTCGATATTTTCAATCCAGAATGGCATGAAATGGATGTGTGGCTGACCAAAAAGTATAATAACCAAAAATTAGCAACAAAGCTATTACGTCCGAAAGTTAATGTAACAGTAACAATTTATAAATTATTAACACAGAATAAAAGTTCAGGGGTGTTACTAAAATCAGCTAGTTGTCGCGTATTCCGTTAAGTTTTGGTACCAAAATCCACAATTATAAATGAGTAATAACTCTGATGAGGTAAATGTGACTCCATTAAGTTTCCTTGACGTAGGATGTAATAGAAATGGTACAATATTTTAAAATGTGGATAATATTCGATTTAGAATTCAATTGGCTCGATAACGCGTCAGAATAGAACAAGATGTGTGTGTAGTAGTAGTGTATTTGCGAACAACCACAAGTGTGTCACGCTGTCAGTTGCACAACGGAAAAGAGTGTTCAAGGTCATTAACTAAAACAACAGGTACCATCATTTAATGATAACATATACAGACAGTGAAAGATTGACAAAATAAATACAAATAATATTAAAAACTATTTACAAAATAAGCTTGTCAGGCCTATCTCCACAGAAGGTGGGTAGTGTTCTGCTATAAGCTTGATGGTTGCACAAACAACTGGATCAGACAGTTTGCTCAATGTGTGTGAATACATTGCGTCGATAATGTTTCGGCACGATTGGGCGATCCCTACCTGTAAATGTGTCACAACGTAAGATTTCCTTACCTGTTCCCAACTGTTTGATGCATAGTTTAAGGGTTGTAGACGACAACTTGTGCTGAAGATCAGTGTCTTCTTTTTGAAGGTCGGCGAGCTTAAGAGGGTCGATTCCTTGGAAGGAAGTTATGCGAGATAAGGCGTCTGCGACTACATTGTTTGCTCCAGGGATGTGTTGAATGTCTGAAGTAAACTGCGAAATGTAGTCCAGTTGTCGAGACTCACGGGGAGAGTACTTGTCTGAAGTAGAGCTTAGAGAGGATGTAAGTGGTTTATGGTCAGTGAAAAGAGTGAATTCACGGCCTCCAATCTAGTGATGAAAATGCCCTACAGCACAATACATAGCTAAGAGTTCCCTACCGAATGTGCTGTACCTTGATTCGGTGTTTAGCAACCGTCTAGAGAAAAATGCCAAAGGTTGCCAGGAGTTGTTAACCCATTGTTGTAAGACTACGCCGATTGTAGAGTCGGATGCGTCTACTTCGATGCTAATGGGTGCTTGGGTGTCCTGATATGCAAGCATTGTTGCTTAAGCGATAAGTTGCTTAATTGTGGAAAATGCTTTTCGTGCGTTGTCGTCCAAATTAATGGATTTCGCATTTCCACAAAGTTGGTCGGTAAGAGGTTTCATGAGTAACGCGCATTTCGGCATGAATCGTCTATAGAAACTTACATGGCCGTTAAACGTTCGTAACTGCTTGACGGTGGTCGGTTCTGGGTAATCTACAATGGCTGCCACTTTGTTCCTAAGAGGTTGAATGCCTTGAGCATTGATAGTGTGTCCTAGGAAGTCTAACGAGTCGGTTCCGATTTGGCATTTCTGAACGTTTACAGTAATGCCAGGTTTTTATAGTCGGTCTAAAACAAGATCCAGATGCTTGACATGTGATTCTTTGTTCATTGCTTGGTGTATCGGACCGAATCTGGTTCGCCACCAAGGATGTCACGGACATTCAGGGTTTGACAATGTGTTTGTCAGTAAGACCTTTATGATTGGAAGATATCAACCCCGTCAAACCTAAGGTCAGGGATAAATGAGTTCGAAAATATGTTCGTGAAGTCACCGATACTTTGAGAAGCGTTTGATTTAAGCTGGTCAGTTGTTACAAAGGATGCATATGCATCCGTGCTATATAGCACGGTGTACCTATCTGTGATCCGGTGCTGATGCATGACAGAGCACCTTCAGCCAAGACATATTCAGTGAGATTAGTGAGGTCAGAAGAAACGTTGAGGACTTACAGAACTCTTTGTTTTGTTGGTTTACTTACCGTTACAATGGACAATGATAAAGTTAACGTTGAAATTCTCCATTCCATTTTGTTATTCATCATCAAGTTATGATGTAAAGAGCAAACTATGATGTATTTCAAACCTTTTGTTGTTTCGTGTGCATTGTCAACTTGACAGCTTTCATAAGAAGCAGGTGGGCAGTATCTGTTTTACAGTATAGTGTGATGAGGTATTGACCTAACGCGTCAAAATCGAAAAGTCCGGGCCTTGAGGTGGGATGGGTGTTCCAAAGTTCTTTAGATGGATTAGTGCTCGATACCCTTGCATAAACCAGATTTTGCGGCCAGGAGAGGTTGGTACTGTTTAGGAATTTGTTTTCTATTATATTTCATAAAATATTGACACTACGACATACATTAAATCTTATTGTAACTAGCATTCACTTTCGACTACACTGCCATACCATGTCAGCCTCAATTTAGGAGTTTATCAGACTTCTTTAGATTCCCGAACACACAGCACTGAGTTAGTTATAGCTATAAAAATGCACATGTGAGGTAAATGTATTTCATCAGAACTAAAAATACTGCATTTTAAAGTTTACCTGGGAATGGTTAAGCTAAGAAACTACCAATAGTTAGCTCCTGTTTAGTTAGTAACGAAGGTAACAGATTATACATTATTCAAATCACTGGTGGTAAATGATAGATTCATCAGGTGGATAGCCTTGAGGTTGAATGTGGGATTTTAGGTAGAAATTGAATCGTTTAGTGAAAATTTGGTTATTTGTGGACAAACGTGCCTGCATAATTTGTTATAAATATCAAGCCGCCGCTTTTTGGACACAAGAAGGCAGAGACTTTGTAGTTGTCCTTCCAGGAGCTTGTAACTAAAGTTACTTGCTATACATTGACATCACTTCAACTAAATCAACAGTCCAATTAAACAAAGCAATTCAGATACGTTTTAAGGAAATTGATAAGTCTCATTTGTTATTTCACCCACTCTAGGAGCGTCAGAGGGGACATCCATTTCTCGAGACCGAATAAATTAAGTTTTCAACTTCACTTTGGGCATTTGGGTAACATGCCTTAACTTCCCAGTAAGGTTGTTTGTTAGCCAAAAACACGGTTCTAGACTATTACGGAGTTTTGTTAGCTTCCTGGAAGTTGAAAACGGTGGAATATGTACAATCCTCAAGGTCGATTTATGTGAGTCATTCTCTCAATAATCTGTTTGATAGAATACTACTTATGATTCTTCTTGGTAAAGCTTGGATTCAATTCCTTTTTCTGGAGTGATCGTAAGTTGGCCAACAGTTTTCTATGGACAGTGAGAACATTCATTATCAACAATATTTGTCACACGGATTATTGGGGAACAAATTAGTCCGTCCATAATGAGCTAATGGTTTACGCTGTTTCATCACATGGAGCCTCATGGTTATACATTTTATGCTCATATTACCGTTTATTACGTATATTTTCTTAATGGATGTATTATCCTCTATTCTTAAAGATCCCTGTTATCGATCACTTTTATTTGGATATGAACGGTATACTTCACACTTGTTCACACCCAGAAGGTGGTAAAATAATCTTTTCGGAAGAGATTATATTTCGAAATATTTGTCTATATATTCAAGTAAAGTTGGCATGCATCTAGTAAACGGCTTTTTCAGTTCTTGTTCAACCTCATTAAGCCACGTAAGACTTTCTTTTTGGCCGTGGATGGTGTTGCACCTAGAGCTAAAATGACGCAGCAACGTGCTCGCCGTTTCCAGTAAGTATTCATTTGAATGTGTTGACATTATGTTTCTTTGATAAATATTCATAATTGCATTTCAATTTTACAGATCTGCTTTAGAGGCTCGTATTGCCAAAGAGAATTTAAAAGATAATTCACCTGAGACCCACTCTTTCGATCCGTGTGTGATTTCTCCAGGTATGTAATTTCGTAATTGGATCATTTTCAGTAAGTTGTTATGTAAAAATAAATAAAAGTATATTTAAGTCTCACAACGACTTAATCAGAACGTTGGCTGAAGATTTATGTTTAATTTATGGCGGGAGTAACATTTTACCATTTACCATTAACTTTACTGTTATGTTTTGCAGACCACGTTAATTAAGTCGTGATATTCTTGAAAGTCATCCATCTGTCGGAATATTAGTAAATGTTAGTTTCATTACTGAATTGCCGATAGTTTATGTTTTAGTTTAACATTCATGTTTATTCATTATAGGTAAGGGAAACATCTAAATTAGTATTATTTGAGGTGTATCAACGATTTTTGTAAGCGAAACTAAAGAACCAGATGTTCGTTTCTGATCGGCAACCAACTGTATTATATTGTCATTATACAAAAAAATGAAGGTTGTATTTGTTCTAATGTCAGTGGTGTACTCACGTACGTACCATCAGTTCGACACCTTATAGAGTTAATATCATAATCATGCTGACAACAGTCAACAAATAAGAAAGCAGAGATAGTGTAAATAAAAGACAGGATATTTATAATTTAAAAGATGAAGAGTATCACATAAGACAAACTGCTAGTTTCAATCCTCTTACAGACTTAAACTATAAAACATCGGACTGAAGATAAGTGAGTCAATAAATTACTATCATCTTTAGTGGAGAAATGTAAAATAAATAATTCCGTGCACATATGCTGAACGCTTTAACACTGGAGAGCAAACACTGACATCATAAACTTAATAATGACGTGTCCGGTATATGTTCCTCATTTTTTGTTTCCAGAATTACAAATTAGAGGTGTTGATTTCTGATGTAGATGTTTAGCTTGTTGGATAAAAAGCTGATCAATTGAAAACGTAGGATTATGCAGTGCGATAAGTGCTGATGAGATGATGTCTCTTATTTTGTCACTCTCACTATTAGTCCCGAACAATGATAAAGTGTCGAAGTGCTGATTACAAAATCACATTCGTATTCTCTTTATTCTTGTGACAAAATTAAACTTGTTTAACAACCTCAAATATTATCTAAAGTTATGTACAATATGATCTGTTAACATATGATATTATCCAGAGGTCAGTGGACGTCCAGTGGATTTAGGACTTCGAATGTCTATCAACTGTTTGTCAGTTCTGAAAACATCGAGTTAATTATTTTCAATTACAATAAATCGCATTTGATAATTATGTGGAAGCCACCCATGAAAATACAGCCTATTACTTGTTAAATACCTACCCCTTTGTTGTGTGTAAGAAAAATGTAAATTTTGTGTTTTGGACCTGACATTGGTGAAATTGAAAATGTTTGACTGCTTTTTATTGTTATCCAATGTTCGCAGCGTGGGAGTTAGCAAGAAAACAGTTGACTGATGTTGTTTTACTTTGAAATCAATATAAATTATATTCACTGAAAAAATCTGGATGTGACCGTGGCTAATGAAGAAGTTCAAACCTTTGATTTCGTAATGACTAAATCATATACATAATCGAAACAAACTATTTCCTTATTTTTTATCAGTGTTGATAATTTGGTGATGAAATGTTTTTGTAAGACATAATTGCTTAAAAACGTCTACCCAGTGATTTTGAACGAACGTTTTCAAATTACGTTAAGGAAGACGTAAGTACATCAATTATCACAAAGTCTTAGTTTTTGCATGGAAGGTCATAACTTTTATCCAAATCATGAAAGTCTTTTTTAATGCATTTTCCTCAGTTACTGGCAAAAGAACAAGGATATCTTGTCTACATAGTTGGACCATACATTTAAAAATAAGAGCTTTATCGTTTGATGTTAGATTATACTATATTGTTGTACATATAAATCCGTGGACAATAAATCCTGCTTAATTAGATGTCACACTGATTTGTCGTTCTGAACTTAAATTTCACAAAATAAGCATTGGTATACATTAGAATTGGAATTACGATTTTTACTTTTTATTTTTAGGTACTGAATTCATGGAGCGGTTACATCGTCATATTGTTACGTTTGTAGAAAATCATGTAAATCATGATGCTGACTGGCAATGTATTGATGTCATTTTATCTGGACATGATGTAAGTCTGTAAGCTTAGTTTGTTGATAACGTCACTTCTCATGTTAAAAAATCCTACGTATAACTTCTCTGTGTAATAATGCTAAGCCCTGAATGTAGCTTAAGTTTAAGTTCGAAAACGAGCTGATGTACACGTCTTTAAACTACATCTATTCTGTGATCAGATCGCTTTTGTTTCACAGTTATTCTCAGTAATAAAATATTGTCATTTCATTTAGTTCACTGTCAAACAATGATGGCGCTATAAAAATTAACGTTACTTATTAGTTAAGTCCATTTTCGTAGCCCAATTAAACTTCATCCTTTCCGTAATGGTTAAGATTATTATTTAATCACCGGGTTACAAGTTCGAACGTAGCTTCTTTTTTACTTTGAAGACTACCATTTATTGTACCCGAAAATGGTTCGTCAAAGCCGAGTTCTTAAACCTGCACTCACAAAATTGGATTAATTATCTAAAATAATTATTTATGGTTGTTAAAGAACTAATTACTAAAGTGGGTGTTAAAGCTCTTTTTTATTGGTCAAACATTAAACGAATAAATCTCAGTTATCTTCATGTAGTGAACGACTTTTTAAAGATCCACTTGTCAGTTATGATAAGTGTACTTCAGCCAATTCTTATTCTAATACTTGGATAGTCCTCATACTGTACGCTATATATGTGTGGTTTTGCGTGCTAAAATCCAAGTGAGAGGCAAACAAAATATACTGTTAATGATTATACAAAAATGTAAGCTTCCACACCGCTACAAAGAAAACCATACTGAAAGGTCGAGTTAATTTCAAATGTTTGTAAATAGCATACTTCATATTGTTAAAAGCAATTTCAAAAATACGGTAGCACTGAAGTCGTTTATCCATAAGCCGTATTTATTGATTATTTTGAGTGTGCACACAATATCGCGTCTTTAAGGAGGGCTAATATATTGTTAATTATCTAAAATAACTTTTGAAATCTTTGGACCCAGATTTTGTTATTAGTGCGCTAGGTTTTCTTTATATTTTTCATCCAGCGCGTGTATATGCGTATTACATAAAACATGACTTTCTGCTCTGAATTTTACGGAATGATATTTTGCCAATATGTTAAGATACAAGGTGGTGGTTGGAGGTAGGTGACAGGAAACCCTGGATTAAGGTTTCTTGCCTTTTAGCACTCGTCATCAAGCTGTGCCTGTAATCTTGCGGGAACTGATGCTTTCTGACTGATTCGATCTTCTTTCAATCAGCTTGACAATCATAGACGTCATTGTTGAGTTATCAGAGTCTCAACAAGCCTGCTGTAGGGCTGTGATGCATTCACTATTGATTGATCTCTTGGCAGTGACATGGACTGACATTGGTTACTACCCAGTGATCGACCAATCGTAAATATATTTTACCAAGCTTTCCTTTATTCGCGTTCAACTGAAATTTCTACTAAGTTGAGCGGAATTATAATGCAACTTGCTTACCGAGCATAACTCAATTTACGTGGTTTTGTATCATACTGTTTTTGTGAGGGCTAGTAATATTACCTGGCTGCCCATACCAAATAGGTTGATGGAGGTGTTGTGTTTTTAGAGCTCCTAACGTTTTCATCATGAGTTACGAATATTTTTTACCTTAGAAGTAGGCTGACTTAAATTCAAACGTGTTATCTGTTAGTCAAACACTAGTTGAGGAACTGTTAAGGAACCAACTTACTAGTTGTTTGCTTTATAACTGACTTTCAGTTACTGTTCAAAAAGATTGCTAAGTGGTAATTTTAACTTCTATGGTAATTATTCTGACTTAATTGGCATGTATTCGTTTGGCATTTTTGTTTTGAGTAACATTACTCAATTGATTATACAAAAAATTAGGATGAACTAATAGCGAAAATATGTATAAAGAGATTTCATTTTCATTTTATAATTAACAAGTGTCCTGGAGAAGGCGAACACAAAATTCGGGAGTATATGGCATATCGTCGTGGTCTACCAAATTACCGTCCAAATGAGCGTCACTGTATATACGGAATGGACGCTGACTTGGTAAGCCGTATGGTGCTAAGTTGTTTTTATTCCTAATATTTTTGTTTGGCTTCTGATGTTGATGTGAGTTTTTTTAGTCATCCCTAGATTGTTAATATTGTTTTAGTTTGAACTGGACACAATGTGAGCCTCAGGAGGAATGTCTGTGGCTTTATCCCAGCCTATTCCCACACCAGAAGACGTCGCCCATCGAGGAAGGTGGTGGTTGTGCATAAGTTATCGGAAGTCCAACGCACTTCAGTTGAAGATTTACTACCTTATCACTCGATTTGTCACAATTACCTAGCACTCTGTCCCTAATTCCAGCCATTGCTTACTCGTTAGTCCCAAAATACGCGAGCAATGCTTTCAAGAAACCTTTGATTGAATAATAGTAACCTACAAAGATCCTCTATTCTTAATGACTGTTTCATACCCATGAAGCAGAACGGAGCGAACTGTTGTTGCACTGTTGCTTAAGGTGGTCGGAAGACTGCATTTTGTCAGCGTCTTGATCAAACAGAGCTATATCATCTGCGTATTCTAAATCAGTAACTGAATATCCTGGTCGAAGATCAATCCCTGAAAAGTCAGAAGATGAAATTGTTATATCTAAAAGCATATATATGACAAAGTTAAAAATCGGGAAGACAGACAACCCTGACGAACACCACTTGAAGTAACCAATTGCGATGACAGTTCACCATGAGCTCTGGCTAGACCAGTAGTGTTCCAGTAGAAAGCCTGTACAAGGTTAATATACTTGTTTGATAAACTATTCAACAACAGACATCGTCACAGGACCTCACGATTAACGGAATGGAACGCCACCTTATGGTCAAGAAATACAACTGTAGTCAGACGTCGAAAAGTATGTCTATGTTCCAGAATTTACGGAAGGGTGAATATTCGGTCAATAAATTCATGTCCAGGTTTGAAACCAGCCTGGGTTTCTCGGGTTTGCTCCTCACGGACTGTAGTTAGATATGAAATTATTATTGAGGTTAATATTCTATGCACTATATCAGTGAAAACGATTTCTTTGTGATTATCACAAGAGGATTGTTGTCCTATCAGTGATGGAGACCAGTCAGATGGGATCACGCCTAGTTCCCAGATTTCAGCTAAGATCTCGATTAATGTAACTGCTAAAACTGGACCACCACTCTTTAAGATCTCAGGGGTTAATCCGTCAGACACTGCTGCTCTCCCTTGCTTCAGATTGCTGATAGCCTTTTCAACCTCACTAATAGTTGGAGGACTTACCTCAGTTTTCAATTCAGGTTGTTTGGAGATAGTGGGTAACTGAATTGTGCTTGGAAACCGTCTGAACTGTTCTCTAAATGTTCTGCCTGTAGGTCCAATCTCCTGGATTAAAAGTTGGTAATAGTCTTACTAACAACCGAATTTTTTATATCTGTTTCCTTGGTACGTCTGAACAGCTGTCTACGGTTACCTATCGCCACTGCCTTTTCCATCTCTTCTGCTTTTGCTACCTACCACTGCTCACGATTACTGAGTAGGCTTTTTATCAGCCTGAGTTTAGGCTGCCTCCGCGCCTCATCATGTTCAAAGCCAGATGGTCTAAATTTCCGAGCATCTATCAGTTCAGTAGACGCCACTGAAATCCACTGATTTATCCTAACCTTTACTAGTAGATATCACTGCTGTTTTCACAGCTCTTTGAATATCATGCCAAGCTACCTCAGGGAGAATATCATTTTCACTATTGATTAACTCTTTCTCTAGTTGTTCCTAAAATACATCCTCAACTTTTTCATTACTAAGTTTGACTCTAAGGTGTTTTCTTGCTATTGGTTTTTTCTGTCAAGTAAGACTCAGATACATACGTGCTCGGATAAGCGCATGATCTGAGTCTAAATATGTACTCCAAAATGGACGAGTCATATATCGAGCCCATCCAACAGTGGTTGATGGCAACGCGATCTAATTGAGTCCATTGTTCTGTTGATTATGGAGTTTGCGACGTAGACGATGTTTTACCCTATGCTTAACGTTGGTGCTTGCTAGAAATAAAAAGTTATCTGAGCGTGATTGCAACAGACGGTCTCCATTATCTGTTCGCCGAGCCGCAACACGATAAGGTCCACCCAAGTGCTTTTCCGTTCGACTTAGTCTACTTACTTGGCTACTAAAATCACTAGACACTTACTACATCAGAGAATTTAACTTTTTCGAAGGAAATTGGAAAGCTTCATATAAAGTTCATCTTTCACTTTATCCCAGCTGCAATCGGTGTGAGCGTAAGCAGCGACAAAGAATAGTCAATGATATGTATCCCTATCTTTCTGAGTTCTTATTGTTCCGTTTAGTCAGACAGCGCACATGTAATCGTCTATTGGAAGGCATGACGGCAAATATATGTGAGCAGAGTTATTAGCGGGGATAGGAGAATTAATAATAAATGAGGGAGGGATTTGACCGTGAAAATGATGATCCCGGGCGCTGTTAGAGGTATGAGGACAGTTGCCACTTCCAGGTTGCTCTCATCGTAGAAGGATATCTCTTCTTGAGATACGTGAAAGATAAACAGGATTAGTGGTGATCTTAACGACCTGGGTGCGTAACCACAGAGCACAAGAAACAACTGCTTGAGGTCGGTAGCACATGGTCTTTTTATGGTAGGTTTATGATGTATTAGCTCCCCACTTCAAAATTTCTTTCTATCGAAGACGGAAATCCGAGGGTTAAGGTCACAAGTGACGTATTGGGGTCGATCTTATCTAGCCCTTTCCTTTCTTTGTTCGAAGGAAACACTTTACTGCTGTTATAAACCTTTTCAGTCATCAGTGCGATTTCGCTTTCGGACTTTAAGTTGCTACTTCAGTGTTACCACTCTCGAACCAACCCTCCTGGCATGATAGGACCTAGAGGGACATGTGTTCCGGCCAATATAGCTCTGTTGAGTCATCACTATAGATAAGCCTCACCACTACGTCACAGTAGCAGCTACTGTTGGGACACCCTCAATCAGATTCACTGTGATTTACTGTTTATGGGTAGTATATGAGAAAATGTATTCGAGTATCGCTAGTAAACACATTTGTTGAATCACAGCTAATAAACAGTGCTTTCAAACTTAAATCTAACCATTTGAGCATGGGAAGGATCTTCTTAGGTATTTTGAGGGGTGCTCCTCAAATGTGTGATCATCTTTCCCATTAGGAGATTATTTATATTACTTATAGCTCACTTTTTGGGCTTTTAGGTCGATTTTCAAACACTAGAAGTTTCAAATAAGCAACAGATGACGTTATGTTATTTGAGTATATATTCCAGACCATTGACTAACTTAACGTTAGAACTACATGCTATACAGTTATTCTCCTTGTCATTCAATCAGTCGGTCAGCTACAACGTTGAACCAGGCACATATATGCATCGGTTCAAGTTGCCACACCTCATTAGCACAACAACATGAACACCGAATTCATAGTAGTTACTTCAATGGTAGTAATATATAAAAGAAAGATTGCATATAAGGATATAATATAGGAAGAAAGAATTAGTGGGCAGAAAGAAAGATAAGAAGAAATTTTAATCTCACGGTTTGAAGGAAGACAAAGAGTGTATGTATCTGCGCCATTGTGATCTATTCTGTGCCATGTCACCGAGTCTCCAACCATTGGTTAAGATAGTCGCGCAGACCCCAACCAAGTAGTCTGCGTCTACCAACATGGCTCAGACCGGAAGTTAGTGACTTCAAGGACTGATGCCATGTTTTGGTTTGGCTGCCTCTAACTTTCTTCCAACCATCCCCAACACTAGCCAGCTTTGTGCGTCGTGGTAATCGGTGTTCAGGCATACGTAGCACGTGACCCAACGATCTCAGTCGATGAAGATTCACAACCTCATCAACCGAATAACCACCATTCTCTCATACTCTGCGTCTAACCTCACCATTACTTACCTTGTGATCCCAGCAGATGCGAATACTAGTGGCTTACGAGTATCTTCTGCACTTAATGGCCGCGTTTCGCATCCGTAAAGTAGACCAGAACGAGCTGTTGCGCAGTATACTCGTCCCTTAATTGATAGACGGATATCTCGCCTTCGCCATAGGTGACGTAAGTTGGCAAAAGCCGAACGAGCCTTCTGAATCCGCACTGAGACTTCGTCAGATACCAACCCATTCGGGTTGATCAAACTTCCAAAATAAGTGTTGTCAACGCGTTCGACTACTTCACTCCCTATCGTTAGTTCAGGTGTTGACGCAGGCCAGTCCTGGAGCAACAACTTGCATTTAGAGGGAGAGAAACGCATTCCAAACATCCTGGTATTGCTGCTCAATGCTACCAATACTCGGAATTCGGTCGGCGTCTTCACCAAACAGGAATATCATCTGCGTAATCTAAGTCGACAAGTGGACCTCCTGGTATTAGATCACTGCCCAAGAATTCAGTCGACGAGAACGTTATTTCCATCTGTATGTCTATGATGAAGTTGAACAAAAGTGGAGATAGTGGACAGCCTTGTTGGACACCATTTGAGGTTATAAAAGCAGATGACAGTTTGCCATAAGCTCTGGCTCAACTTGTAGTGTTCAAGTAAAGAACCTTCACAAGGTTTATGCGATTTTGAGGTATACCTTTCAGTGACAGACACTGCCACAGAATCTCTCGGTCTACAAAGTCAAATGCTGCTTTTAAGTCAAGAAAGACCACTATTGTTGGACGCCAATAAGCTGCTTGTGTTCCAAAGTCTGAGGAATGGTGAGTATGTGGTCGATACAGCGACAACTAGATCTGAAGCCAGCCTGATTTCCTCGTGTTTGCAGTTCACGGGTCTTAGTTAGGCGTTCGATGATTATTGAGGTTAGTATTTTAGATGTTATGTTAGTCAAACTAATCCCTCTATGGTTATCACAGGATGATTTTAACCCCCTCTTGTATATTGGGTCAATCAGTGATTGTGACCAGTCAGGTGGGATTACGTCAAACTCCCAGATTTTAGCTAAAATATTAGACAACCTAATCACTAAAATTGGGCCATCATACTTAAAGACCTTTGAAACCAATCCATCTGCGCCAACTGTTCTTCCTCGTTTCAGATTAGATATAGGCTTTTGGACTTCAGCTGGAGTCGGGAGACCTACTTCAATGTTCCATTCAGACTGTCTGGGAATGGTGGATAGTTGTAGAGTAACGGAAGGTGAGCTGAACTACTCCTTAAAGTGTTCCGCCCATCCTTCTAAACGTCTGGACTAAGAGCAGATAAGAGTGTCGTCTTTTTTCGAGGTAGTCTCACCTATACTCGACTTATTAATTCCAGTTTCTTTTATTAGTCTGGAATGCTGTATTGTGTTACCTACAGCCGCTGCCATCTCTCCTTGAACGTTTTTGATTTTGTCTGAACAACGTCTCATTCATTAGCGTTCTTTTGTTTTTCCACTTAGATCTTTTTGGGTTTGACAACTCATGAAATCAACATTTGTATCTTGCGTGAGAACGTTGTTAAAGCCCAGTAAGTTTCAACTGTACTTCTGTAATTATTCCGTTCTTCACTTAACTCAGGAAAATCTTATACTTAGTTTCATATCATTGAATAAAGCCATTAATAATAATAATAATAATTAATAATAATTTCAGGTCTCCTGTCTGTCAAGAGCTTATCTTGACATCCCAATAGTCGTAATTCATTAATCACATGTAGATTTTTGCATCATTTTAAGTTTGAGTTATGAAAATAGTGTTCAATTCAAAGTCAGTTGAACAAAATCTTTTATTGGAAATATACAGTTGTAGCTAACTAAACATATACTACTCATGATAAAACACGATTGGTGTATATAAATCATAAACACAGCCAAAAATATGTCATAGTAACATTTTAAAAGCCTGAAAATCCTTAAATAACTATTTAATGGATAAGTCGTCTATCATCAGTCATGTACAGCTAATGAGTGCTACTTAATAGATCTCATACATATATATATATATATATATATATATATATATATATATATATATATATATATATATATATATATATATATATATATATATATATATATATATATATATATATATATATATATATATATATATATATATACTAGTGTACAGCCATGATGAAAAACCAATTAAAAAATGTGTTTTGATTCCTTCCCTTCAGTTTTTACCTTGAATTTATTTTTGTTTTCTAACTTTAATAGAAATTGTTCGGCTGATAATAAACCTTTCTGTATTACTTATTTGTCAGTTCTTCGGGAGTATATTGATTTGGAATTTACGGAATTAAAGGTTAGTAATTAGTGTTTTCTGTTTTAAGTTTTAGAGATATAAGTTGACTGAGATTGACTAATTGATTAAATTAGGAAGAATTTGTGTGTTGAGCCGATTTTCAACGAATTCTTTACAAAATAAAATAACATGGAATACGCGTTGTTGTATGCATGTATGCTATGTATGATGAAGAATCGTAAATCAAACGGACAACTTTTAGTGGTGGAGGCGGTATATTTTCGCTGGGCAGTACAGTTTAATTATAAAGATTTTATTGTTGTTCTGTACAACACTAGTGCCCATTTCAAATAGTAGTATTGCACTTAATCACTCCAGAACTCCCCTGTAAAAATTTATATAAAAAGTACATTTAGCTAATTTAGTCAAACATTTATCTATAAACATTTCATACTTTTTATAAAGCATGCTCAAACAATATCTTCTTAGACCGTCCACAATTATCAATAACGAATTAGTTAAGCTTATGATATCGAGAACATTTTTATTGGTAAAATATTTGTTAAGCTATTTCTTAACGTTTATTTAAACTAATTTCATTGTTCTGTTAAAAATGTTTTACTATTTCAATTACTGAAAATATCAATTTAAGTCAAATATTTCGAAAATTTTACAATTAACAACATTCTTTTCGTTTAAATAATGTATTTCTAATGCAGAAGACATTGCCGTTTCCTTATGATTTGGAACGCCTGATTGATGATTGGATTTTTATGGCTTTTCTATTGGGGAATGATTTCATACCTCACATACCTAATTTGCATATACATGCGGAGTCTTTGTTAACTGTCTGGGATACATATCAAGTTGTATTACCGAAATTGGATGGTAAGTTTTATTTAATCTATTCATATTATCTTTACTTTTTATCAATCCTTTAATCAGTTGATTAAAAACAAAATCGTTTTCTTGAGAAGCCCTTTCACAAAATGTACAGGGTTCAAAAGATTTATCTTAAAGTTGCTGGAGAAACTTAAATTCTACTATTTATTTATTAGCCTCCATTGATTAAAAACAGACCGATCGGGATATTTGAGTGTGCCTTATACCAAACATACTGCCGTTAAAAGTTTGTCCTCCTAACGATAATACCTGTCAAAAAGTTTCCCCGTTGGTCTTGAGTTAAAATCTAGTATAAATACCTATTTTTCTTTTAGGAAGCATATACTTTTTTGTAATAATCTTCAAGGGGTAACAAACACATATTATCTAAAATTTATAATACAATCCATTGCCTTAATAATATGGTTTTGTATATTATTGTTTTACTTCCGAATTAAGAAATGACTAAAAGGTTTCGTACACTTTAGTAAATTCATTAATATCGTTCTAGTGATGTAGTTAAACATTTTTAATTCGATAGTATATTAAGAGTACTGTGTGGAATTGTCAAAAAAAGATACTAATTACTAGCTACATATGTGTACAGTGAGTAGGGCCTAGTAGTCAGAAGTAGCTAAAGTTGGCTGAAAAGATTAATGAAATTGAAAGTACATATTAGTAGCATAATAGCACTACTCTGTATGTGACTAGTAAGTTAGCTACTCGGATAAACGTTTGTTTTCATTAGTAACTAAACTATAGAAATGATTTCCAGTCGTAGAATATTTGCAGTTGTAACAAAATAAACATTTATTTAGCTTGTTTCCCACCATTTGATACTATTTTTTTGGGTGTAAATTAGCTTCTTAATATTGGTATGATTTTCGGACATATGTCTTTAACAATAGGTTACCTTGTGGAGTTTGGATATTTAAATCTTCCGCGATTTCATAAATATCTGGAAGAACTTTCTCAGGTTAGTGATTTTCCTTTTAATTTACATTATTTTAAAATGCATTATATATAATTTCGCCAAGGTACGTTTATTTTTTAAAATACGGAATCGATAACGTTTCCTGTAATAGTTTACGACAAAATTACCCTTTTATTTGATTTACTAGCGGTCGTGAACATGGAAACCAGCAATCAATTATTTGTTCACGGTTTACATACTTTGTATTTAAAGTACAAAAGTCTAGTGTAGTGGAATGAAGTCATTCAATGAATAACAATTTCAATTAAATGTTTATCTTATTGTCTGTTAGTACTATCTTTGCCAAATTCAAACACTACCAAATTGTAAAAACTGTAGAATGTTTCCACTTCAGAAAGACCGGGTTTCTTAAGCGAATGGCGGGATAAGTTTCACTAAAACCATCTATACCGAACTCCACAATTCGATAAACACAGCTACTCCACCAGCAATCTACATCTTCATACTTCGCTTTAATTTTCTGCGTATAAAGAGTGCTTTCGTGCTACACCATTCCATGAACTACCTAGTAACTTGAAATCCCGAGTAGTTTCCGGTGGTTTATATTTCCATATGAATACAAATTTATGCTCCCGTTTATGCTAACATAGTATGTGCGAAGCATGTAGCGTAGGTTCGGTTTTTTCTGAAGTGTTTGGTCAGTCTGAACTATATGTTATAGAATGATAAAGCTACTTTGTTTACAGAAAAATGTATTCTTCCTTTAGTATATTAGTTTTTATCACTTTTCAGTTTGAGCGTGATTGGTTCGAGGAACGTGAAGCAGCTTTCCATTGGATGAGAGGAAAACAAGGTGCTCGTATGGCAAATGAACTAGAAAAACTCGGTTTATCATCTGAGGATAATCAGATACCATCTCATAAACCTCTCAGTTCAACAGGGAAACGTTTCCCCGAAATGACTAAAAGTAGTTTATTAGATAAGAAAGATGGTAAGTGTTGTGGTTTTGTTGCTTTTTTAACGGCACACTGAATGAAAACATCGTTATTAACTTATCACTATTTGTTTTGTTGAAACCGAGGGGTTTTTATAAATGGTTCTCATAGCTTGCTTTCAAACAATCGTAAAACCCGGTTAATTTCGGCATTTTAGTTATTTCTTAAGAAATTAGTCAAACTAAGTGTCATACAATCACGTTCGCCATAGCGACCTGTTTATTAAGTGTGTAACGGCGTTGTTATCGGCGTAGACTTGATATACTTACATTGATGCAATGTTGATAAAAGATTGCCTAAACAAAAGTTAGAGCGATTAGAAATAATTAGCTTTACTTTCAGCGCTGATAATCATAACTCATTAGAAGTTATCACCTAATTTACTTTTGAAAATCATGAGTAATGTGTTACACAGTGTGTTTATTCGTATTAATACTACTAGATTTTCCTAAAATCTATTTCCATACTGCAGAATAAACATAGAAGTGAGAATCGTAGCTAGTGGTTTGGTGTTTATAGTTAAGCCCATTTATTTTCAAGCTTCCTAGTTGTATCGTATAGTTCTCTCATATTTCCTGTTTCTGTAGCTTTTCCCGCTGTAGTTGCTAGGTCTTTCACATATTCCAACTTACTAACCCTAATAGTCTTTTTTTCTAGTTTTTCTTTGTTTCTGTATGTTCAGGTCGTTCCTAGGTTTTCTCTTCTTTTGCTTGGCTGTTGTTGACAATAGTCTTCTTGTTTTGCGTCGCTTGGATCTTGCCCAGTATATTGCTGGAATCCCGCCCCTTATTATGGTGCTTCTCAAGGCTCAGCACCTGACGTGTTGAAGTTATTGCTTTTTTAATCCCTTTTCAGTCATTCCCCATGATGATTTATTGTTCCATGAGTAGATCTTATAAAGCTGGGAATTTGTTATCGGGAGCTATCTTGAACTCGCCAAAGTTATTATGTCGAAGAAAGTCTGTATTAAACCTTTGTAATGATGTTTGTTCAGTTATCCAGTATTTCTTTAGCTTCAGTTTTAGCTTGACCACCATCAGATGATGACCTGAAATCATATCAGCTCATCTCTTTGCTTTCAGGTCTTCTATGGACTTGAACTTTTGTGATGTCATGAATTTGATTATCTGTAGTGTGGTCCGGTGAATCTCATGTAGCTTTGTACACGTGTTTTTGGAAGAAAATACTGTTGTAAGTATACCGATCTACCGGTCACTCACCTTTCTCGGCCCTTTCTTCTAATTCATATTTCCCCAAAATGAGTTCCTACCCAGCGTTGTCCATCCTGACCTTGGCATTTACGTCTCCCATCATTAGGATGGTCGTTTTTTTCTGAGTAGTTCTCTATGATAGGCTACAGCCTCGTGAAACTGATCTTTATAGTCTTCACTGCTCTCATTGGTGGGCACGTACCACGTCGCATTGTTATCCCTTCCGTCTTTGATGATCCTAGAGCCATGAGATTCCCATCATATAAGTGCTTTTCGGGCTTCTTTGGATAATATCAGTTCGACTCTTTGTGTATGCGTGACATTTTATTATTCATAACCAGATCACAAAAACACCTGTCTCGAAGCTAGTATTTTCTGTTCATTTTGTGTCCATCGGCTTTCACTTATTCCAAGCAGAAGAAAGCAAGAACAAGAAGACATCTTTTAACAGCAGCCGAACACGAACAGTGAAAGTCAAGGTATAAGCTAAGTAACCAAAAGCAAATAAGCAAGTGAAGAAGAGCAATAGAGCTGATAAACAGAAATATGTTGAAGATGTCACAACGACAACAAGGCAAGCCATAAGAAAAGGAAATATGAAACAACTGCATGACACGACGAAGAAACTGATAGGGAAATATACTAAACCAGAGAGACTGTCCAAGAACAAAAAAGACAAGCTAATCATTGAAATTCAAGAACCGAGGAACAGATGAGTAAAAAACTTTGTTTAAGGAACTCTTGAATAGGTCAGCCCCATTCAATCCATCGGACATCGAAGCGACACCTACAGACCTTCCTATAGATGTCACTCCACTAACGGTGGAAGAAGTTAGGATGGCCATCGGACAAATTAAGCGTGGGAAAGCAACAGGACCTAACAATAAACCAGCTAAAGCATTGAAGCCAGACATAAGTAACTGCAAAGATGCTCCATGTTCTATTCAGGAAAATTTGGAAGAACGAACAAGTGCTGACAGACTGGAAAGGATACCTCATCACAATACCAAAGAAAAATCTGAGCAAATGTGAGAACTGCAGAGGCATCACACTACTATCGGTACCAGGAAAGGTTTTCAACAAAGTGTTGCTGAACCGGATGAAAGATTCAGTAGACGCCCAGCTTCGAGATTAGTAGGCTGGATTCCGTAAGTATTTCTCGTGCGCAGACCAGATCTAGACACTATGGATCCTTATTGAACAATCAATTGAATGGAACTCGTTACTATACATCAACACTAGGATGTACCTGAGAAGATCGTTAACATCGTACAAAATTCTTAGGATGGACTACATTGCAAAGTGCTGCATGGAGGACAGCTGACAGATGCATTCCAAGTAAGGATCAGAGTCAGACAAGGCTGTCTACTGTCCCCCTTTCTCTTCCTTTTAGTGGTCCACTGGATTATGAGGACCACTTATCATGAGAAGTACCGAATATGATGAACAGCTTTTATGCAGCTAGACGATTTGGATTTCGCAGATGACCTAGTTCTTCTATCTCATGCACACGAACAAATGCAGGTGAAGACAACCAGTGTAGTAGCAGCCTCTGCATCAGTAGGCCTCAACATACACAATGTAAAAAGCAAGATCCTCAATTACAACATGGGGAACACCAACCCAATCACACTTGATGGAGAAACGTTGAAAGAGGAGGAAACTTTCACGTACCTGGTCAGCATAATCTATGAACAAGGAAGATCAGATGCAGATATGAAAGTAAGGATTGGCAAAGCAAAGACAACATTCCTACAGTTGAAGAACATATGAAACTCAAAACGTCTGTCAACCAACGTCAAGATCAAAATCTTCAATACGAACGTCGCGACAGTTCTACCGTGCGGTGCTAAAACTTGAAGAACGACCACCACCGTCATCAAGATACAATTATCTACGTAAGATACTGAATGTCCGTTGGTCGAGTACCATTAGCAACAACTTATTGTGGAAGAGAACAAACCAGGTTCCATCTGATGAGGAAATTAGGAAAAGACTTTGGAAACGGATATGACATACATTACGAAAATCACCAAGCTGCATCACGAAGGAAGCGCTAATTTGGAATCCCGAAGGGGAACGGAAAAGAAGACCAAAGAATACGCTGCCCCGAGAATTAGAAGCAGCCATGAAGAGGATGAATAGCAACTGTGAAGGATTGCCGAGAAACATAGTTGAATGAAGAATGCTGATGGGAAACCCATGCTCCTCGACGATGGGTAAAAGGCCTAATTAGGTATGTATTCCAAACAGAGCCACGTTACGTCTTCTCATTTCCACAGCTATTTGATGAATGGTCTTCGCTGTCACCCACATTGTGCAGACATTCCATGTTCCTATGTTAATTGTTACTCCGAATGTCAGTAGGTGCATCAGGCTCATGGTTTCCGAAGAATCTCGGCTTTCAACGTGGGACATCATAAGTCTTCTAATTAAAGATCCTTCAACTCCTAGTTCAATGTCCAAATAGTTTAAATGATTTTTTTGATCGTCAGCTTTCCGGCAAGTTTTTTAACTATAGAGTGGGATTGATAACCCCATACTCAATCATCTTCCTTTATCCATGTTTTGGACTGCAACAGTACTGGAGGGCTCCTGGCGGAGCAGAGTATCTTAAATGATAATGTCATTTTTAATTTTTAATTCGTCGTTGACATTAATCTTACTAATCTGTGTGACTGTCATTTTGTACATATGTGTGATTAAAAAACAATCGGTTTAAATCTATTCCACTTCGCACGGTCTTCACAAGTCTTTAGTATCGACGGCTTTGTACCCATTCTTTATGGTTTATTGCTTGAGCCATCTAATACTTCCTGCTGAATTAGACTTTCTTATTAGCAATAATAACTTCGAAGTCACTATGCAGAGTTCTTCAAATGGACGTAGTCTTTATCCTTCGCAGATCACTATGGATGGAAATTTTGTGTTTACTTTCTACTCCTAGTGGTAGTTTTGTACGATGTTTCAGCTACTGTGTTTAATAAGTGACCGTTTAGCGACACAGTTTCCAACCCGATCTCTGAACTCAAATTAACACATAGCCTAGATCTTTATAGTACAAAATATCAGTAATAGGTTTATAAATAATTCATAGGCATTTGTGAACGGGAAAAATATGACACGAGTTGTTAGGTCAACTGAGAGATTAGCGCTAAGACAATATTAAAATACTACCATAAATCAATTATTCGATAAGTGTGCATTGAAAATATATCAGCTAGTTCACTGGACGACAGTTTCTAAAGTTTTCTCTTTACATCTACTCACTTATCTATTATAGAAAATGCGTGTAAATTTACGATTTATTCAAATCTGTTTTCATCTATTATGGAACGCTCTATGTAGAACACTAAAAAACAAATACGAATTAATCAATTCACTTTGTAGATACAAAAGCGAAAATATTCTTCGTTGAAACCCTACCTTTCCGAACTGGCTCCAATTAAAGTTTTTTCTCCCGACTAACGGTATTTCCAATGTCACTAGTTGACGAACATGTTAGAAAAAAATAAACCTTGTTACACAGAAAGTTAAATGATCCTATCTTTAGTTCAGTTTGTACTATAGTATATCACTGAACTACTTCTACAACATTTATCTTAGTATTTTTATTTTGTAGATTTCGATCAATTGACTGATTTGATAAATTTATTCGCACCTCAATCTGATTGTCAATATGATAATGTTATGTTAGATGAAGCCGCTGAATTAATGGAAGAAGGTGTTGTTGTTTCATTAAGGAAACATGATGATAAAGTCAAGCAGTTATATAATAAAAGTGATCCGTCCAATAGAACTTCCGATAATAATACACATAACACAATAGGCGATAATCATGATCATGAGGATAATACAGATAATGAAACAGAAGAGGAAATAGAAGACGAGAATGTCACTTATGTTGAAAGTGATACAGATCTAGATGAAGATTTATTAGTTTATAAAATGCATCGACGTGATTATTATTCGTCGAAACTTGGTATACAACTCGATGAGATGTCAGGTGATCTTGGTGAAAATTCCACATTAATGTCTTTAATTCAAGATTATATCCGAATGTTACAATGGATATTGAATTATTACTTTCTAAATGTGGCTGATTGGGATTTTTTCTATGCTTATCACTATGCACCATTTGTGCATGATCTTATTTTATATACAAAAAAGTTTGAGAGTTATCAAAATTTCAATGGTATCAAATTGTCTTGGACAAACTTTCAAACAAATTCACAACCAGTTTTACCGTTTGTTCAACAATTAATGATATTACCATCGGATTCAGCTTATATAGTTCCAGCACCTTATTGGGAATTAATGATTTCTCCATCTTCCCCATTAGCTGAATTCTTTCCTAGAGAATTCGAAACTGATATAAATGGGAAAATAGCATCATGGGAGGCTGTAGTGGTAAGTCTATTAACATTGCGTAAATATGCATGCATGATTACATCGGAAAGGGTATCGAATTATTGATAAAACTTCCAAATAAATTTGTGTAAGGTTTGGAAAAATGATAAGTTGAATTCTTTTTTCTCTTAAGCTAACCAATGAGCTGCTGACAAATTTTTCGGAAGGTTCTCTGTTATTTTTAGATAAATGACTAACCTAAATAAATAATTGAATATATTACAAACGAAAACCTTTTTGTTCAGCTGGAATTTCATCAGCATAACGCCAGTGTTATGTTTTCGCTAGGAATGCACTGAATTTTTTTATTGGAATTACTTGAATAAAAGGTGTTCGAAATTTTAAGCATACAGAATTATCATTTACGTATGAGGTTTTTCACATTGAAATCCCATTCAATAAATGCTAGCAATAGACTGATAATTTTGATAAATTAGTAACTAATAAATGCCATCAAAATTGAACTACCAATCAAATAATTTGTAATAGTTTGCATTTGTTTTTCTTTCGTCACTTGATGGCTTTGGTTTGCAGTTCCTTACTAATCTAATTGTCCCTAAAACTGTATTGTGTACATCGCAAACCCGTTGATTTGATTGATCAGATATATCTATAACTTATTTCAAGTGAAGCAAGTGTACGCAAGTATTCAGAAAAGTCACTCACCTTTCGCATAAATATGAATCTTTAATTCATTTTTGCCATAATCATTGGTCATTCCTGAGTTTTTGGGAATGGAAACCCTTCATTTGGCTTCGGTATACACCAATATCTAGATAAGTTGTCCCATGGTTTTGTTTGTGAATTGCTTAGTCAAGCTACCAAACATTCATAGTTTCATATCATATGAACAAGTTCCCAGGTCATTTGTTAACTTGTCTAAGATTTATATTTTATACTTACAATTTATTTCATAATTTAACCTATTTTGTTGTTCTGTACCTATATTCACAGTTAATTCCGTTTTTGGATCAGCAACTTCTCATAAATGCAATGAAGGATGGAAACACTAAACTAACTGAACAAGAAAAACAACGCAACCAACATAAATCTCATTTGTTTTATCGTGCTTGTCCAATTGGACGTGTAAAATCTCCTGTAGAATTAATTAATTATGATTTTTATCGTAAATCTGTCAATTATGGTGAATCAGAATTAAGTCAGTTTTATGCTTCAATCACTAGATCTGTTGTTGATGATTTTCCAAGTTTATCAAGACTACCGTTTACCCATAAAATTCAAAGAATACCAGTTTATGTAAGATATTTTTCTAGCCTATATATATATTTGCTGTAATAACGAAAGTTAGTCACATCAGAAATATTTTTAAACATCTATTTGGATTATTATTATTATTATTATTATTATTATTATTATTATTATTATTATTATTTGAGTAACCGTTATCACTCATTCTATAATGGATTATCGTTTCGTCTACTTCACAAGTAGCACAAACCGACCAAAAGTAGGTGAGCTTCCTGAATAACTGTTAAGGATTTATCAGACATCAATCCACTGGTATTGACGAGCCTTCTAAGATAAGTGTTTTCCACATACAACTACCATACTCCTCATGATCAGTCTTGGTGATGACAAAGACCATTTGTGAATCAACATTTTGCATTCTAGAGGGAGAAAAACGTATCCCAAATATGATTGTAGTTTTGCTCAAAGCGTTCAGAAGGTTATGTTTTTGTCAGCCTCTTCATTATATTTGATTGTCAACTGTGCACTTCATGTCGATGATTGAGTTTTCGAGAAAGGAAATCGATCCCTGGGCAGTTGGTTGAAGAAATTTGATTTATTTTAGGATATATGTGAGGAAGCTTAATCGGAAAGCGCAAAATAGTCAGTTCTGACAAACATCATTTGCAGTTACCAACTCTTAGCGGTTTACCATTCTCTCTAACCTAATACTGTTCTGTCTAAGAGCCCTCGTAGACTCGTGTGTCATTTCAATCCACCTTATAATCACTGTGTCAGAAACCCGTTGTTCGACGAAGTGAAACGGTACCTTATATTTGTTTTAGAACAAGTAATCATCACCATTTTTTGGTAAAAACTGTTTCCAGTTTGTTGTTTGTGTTATTTTGGGCAGCTCGGTGGTTTTCTTATTTAGCGCTGTAGTTTGCCTTGTGAGTTCTTCACTACTCCATACCAATACAGAGTTGGTCGATTTATGTGCAGCGGAAAATCTGTAAATACGTAATCAGGTACATACGTACTACGAGTCAGTTTCTGCCCTTGTCTGACTGATATTAAATGTTAACGTTTTTTGAATAAGTGTTTTATCAGTAGAATTTAAATCACGTTGCTTTTTGAATACATGTATACTGGAGTTCTAAAATGCTTATGAGTTTGCCGATTGTTCTGTGGGTCTAGTCTGATACAAGCCTTGTTACATAAATCATCGTATTTATTCTAACGTACCTGTGAAAAAAAACGTTTGAAGCTCGTGATTTAATTACATGTTTCCATTTGATCTTCTACAAATTAGCACTTGTTTATTATTCCTGTGTATTAAAACTAGGTTTTTGAACGCCCTAGTAAATTAGATAGTATGGCGTTAACAATGAAACCCCATCCAGAATTTTCAAAATATGATAGCCTTGGTCAGTTAGCTGAAAGTATTCTTGGGCGTCCTATTCGTGTTCGTTGGCCATTCTGTGCTACAGTGATGCCTGTTCGATTGATGAGCACTAGCGAAATGTAAGAATGTGCAATATACACTTTCACATTAATATAATTATAATCCTAGTCAATTTTACATTGTATTTCGTTGGTACTTTTAAATTTTGACTATTTATATGACGAAACTGTAGTTTTCAGAATTGCTCATTAATCTGTTTATGATCTTATGTTAAATATGGTGTTTATTTCTTGTAAGCGAGTAAGACAGCAGCTCGAAACTTTGACTTGAGTAAATAGTTTGTGCGAAGTGTTATCGACGTCATATTGGACTTGTAAGACCGATTTTAAGTGGAGTTGGTACATGTTCGAAATTAGCAAACCCTTGAACTAATTTCCTTTTTGGCGTACAGACATTGTTATTCTAGCTCAATAATTTCTGTATACTTTCATGTGTATATTGATGCTTGTAGAAACGGGAATGCACGATCGAATGCTTTTATTATCAGTCTAAGCATTATATATATTGTTAATGAACGTTTTCACATCCGACATTGTCGGACTTTATTGGTCACGACTGCTCACTAAAACTCCGAAAAATTCTTTGTAAAGCAAGTCCCTAGTGAGTTCTAACCTTCTGTTTCCCTCCCTGTTCTCTTTGATTCAATCTTCTGTTGGCAGGCATTACACTACCGATTGCTGCTACATGCTACTCTAATCTGTCAGCATAAGTAGTATTCACCACACCATGACCATTGTTACTCAATCGTGTCGAGTGTGAGGTAGGTACTGGCTGCCAACTGTGGAAAGCTGTTAAACAGTGTCCATTAATTCTTCTTTCTCTTCGTGTGGTTTCTACTTTTCTTTTGAATTGTGCTTACAGATAGACTATTGCCATTACTTTATTCCAACTTTTTCACAGTTTGGATTTGTTATAACGGTTTTCAATTTGATTAATATAGACATTTTTGAAATAGTTTCAGAAATATCTGCAACACATTTATTTGATGATTTGACCAGTTCATTGAAACAGAAATGGAACAATTTAAGAAATTCGATAAAATTTATTGGTGCTGAGTAGTCAGCTTCAAAATAGTTTTTTTTTCTTACCATATCTACTGATGATTTTGGTTACTTTTGTACCTGCATTAATAACACATGTGGAAACCGTCAAGTGTCTACATTTTCACAAACTGATCAATATTGTTGAATGGTGCATTTGTCTTTGTTAGGTATAATGATCAATAAGACCCAGCCAGAACGTTATATTGCTGGGCCTGGTATATAAATCATACATATCGGTAAATGAATTCTATTTCCTTCAGTATCCTCCATCTTCGATTCTCATAATTTTTTGTTTGCTATGTAATCTAACGAGTTTACTAAAATCTCAACTTATAATCATATGTTTTGTATTGTTTGTGGTTATTGGTATATGTGAATTGTAGAAATCTATTTCCACTGAAATGTATTTATCTTAATTTCTTTAAAAAATTAGCTGGGAACTAGTGGATTTTAATGTAGAACCGATAATTGAGTCTTCAAGCGATTTGCCCTCCGAATCCTTGCACTTTCGTCCACTTTTATCGTCTGAAGACAATAATCATGAATCGGATTGGATAAATAGCCAACTGTCAAGTTTAAAACACCATTTTGAGAAACGTCGAGCAATTTTATTTGATGAAAAAAGTGATAATAATGACTGTGATGAGCTAGATGCTCATGCGAATTTGATACCATCGTCAGTTCTAGTTTTTTCTCGTCCATTAGACGGTTGGTCTGTAGTACCTGTACGAGCAAATGATTCGGATGGTTTTACTCTTATACCGAATTTTGTTCGTTCGCGTGCTCAAAATGGTGATGATTTAGAATTGTCTAATACACCATTTGCATCTTCATTCATTCAATCAGAAAATATGATTGACTTATCCGGAAAACGAGATAAAAAACGAAAAACACTTGTCGAAAAACCTTCATTGAGTATAGAACCTGCTTATGGTCTGTCGGATGGTTTGAATCTAGACTTATTAGATGTCCTATTACCTGGTATACCTCCACCACCATCAATTGGATGTGTTGAAGTTGACTGGGGTTATAATAAAACAATTTCACTCCATACAATATTTCATCCTGGTAAAATAGTGTTTAGTTTAGCCAAAGAAAGTTATGGATCAGTGGGTGAAGTGAGTTATTAGTAGTTTTACACAATCTTATATAGCCTTTATATCATAATGTTGTTATATATTATAAATAAACTAGAGCAGTTTATGATTATTTGTCAGTATGTTGCTTACTTCCTATAATACGTCATAACACACTAAATTAGTACATTTTTTAAATCCTGGTCAATGTATTCTTTCTTATTAATAGCAAATAATAAATATGAAATATTCCCTGATTGTAAATTTAGAACAACGTATATAAGCGAACAATATTGTTTTCGATTAGAACTTCATCAGGCTTTACTCTAATATACAGTAATATTTATATTGCTTATACGAAATTATTAAACCAATCAAGGTAGTTTATAAGTCAATGATAACTATGAAAAAGATTACATAATAAGTGAAAAGTACAAATTGGTAGTGTGATAACAGATGTATTAGTTTTTGATAAGAATAATAAAGGCTCAAATCAATGTTACATAATCGGAAATAGGTCAATGATTAGAAAAATATAGACAATGAGATAACATTTATAAAATTATAAGATGACGTAATAAGTGTTCAGATAATTGAACTTAGAAACGCATATTTGACAGAGAATAAAATAAAATGGTAGGAGGGGGTGAAGAAAAATAATAAACGAAGAGAACGTTTTGAAAAATTAATAAATAAATTCATTTATTAAGGCCAATGGAGAGATAAGGGTGTTACAAATTTCTTCTGAGCACAAAGACTTGGCTTGTTGGTTCGAATTCCTATAGCTTCTGCTATGTGTAAGAGATGAGATCGAACACCATAAAGGAAACTAGTGAGAATACGATAGATAACTTTAAATGACTTGTTTCTGTCCACTACATGACCACTATCGATCAAGTGTGATAGAACCGAGCTGCGTATTGTTTTGACGTTACCTTTTCCCAACCACGAAGGGAAGTGTTCACTAACTCTTTGGTTCAGTTGCCTGGTAGTGCGCCCAATACAGCTTTCTCTACTGAGCAGCTAAATTCGTAGATACACATAGAAGTGGCATAACCAGGTAACTTATCCTTCAGTTGGGGAATCACCATAGATCGGGTCGAATACGATAGATAGAGGTTGGTAGCATTAAACGTTCTCTTTACTACTCTAGTCAGTCTATCACGTAATACATCACTAGCTACATCATCATTGAATTGCAGCTTCAAGAAAAGAGGTTTCTTATTAGCCGTCAGTGTCACACGCAAGTGTTTCTTTAAGAAACCCTATGGATATCCCAATTCAATCAACATATTATGAATATACTCTAATTCCTTACTAGAACTATTTATTAACAAACATCCTGCAATTAAATTTGCATCTGAAGAGGGAATAGGTAATAAACTACATTTCCTTGACGTTTTTTTGAATAGAAAAGAAAATGGTTCTATCAGCAGAGGTGCGTATAGAAAAAGTTCTTCTCCAAGCCGATACACACATTTTTAAAGCTTTGTGCCTCTTCATTATAAGAGAAACCTAGTCAAATGCCTGGCAAATAGAGCTATTAAGATATGCTCAATTGACACCATTGATAAGGAATAAGCGCACATCCACGATCTTCATATCTCATAACGAATGTGCAAATATCTTTGACAGATATAATCCATAACTTTAAATCAATCTCCCTAAAACCTCATTTCAAACTAATCTGTTAATGTGAAAAGTTCTTTATTCTCTCTACTGTTTCATGTTTTCTTCATGTTCCATATTTTTAGATTATTGGAGTTGATCAGAAGAAAGGTAAAGTTATGGTACGCTTCTATCCTGATGTCTCATCATCAACTGACTTAACGGAATTTTGTAGTCAGGTTGAAGTAAGTGTAATTGTAATTATATAAGAAAACTATATTGTAAATGAAATCACTACTTGTATTATCTTTGCATAACAACGAGTTGTGATCCCAAAAACTAAACTTAGAACTTGTATACTTTTCTGAAAATGTCTTTCTGCTAATTTAACTTTAATATAAAGTCAGTTAATCTGATACTTTTAGTTCTTAACATGATTAGTTGACGTTTTTATTAATCGAGAACTTAAATGTAACGTACCATGTTATCCTTTTGTACTCATTCCACGCTTGTTGCACAGTTAAGAAGCGTTTGATGTTCATTTAGTAATCCACCACTTAAAAATTTGCAGGGCTTTTAATCAGATTGTATTTTTCAACATTATTTCAAGTTAAAAATTCCTAGAATAAGCTTTTTCAATTCAATCTATCGTAATTTGTCTCTAGCCCTCAAATGCCCTGGTACGGCCGAGAGTGGGAAGAGTCCGCTCTCCCTCTCGAAATGCTCTCACATGGCCACGCGTATATAGCCTCTGCCAGGGAAGTCCTACTCACTGCCTTCTCGTGGCGGGGGTGTTGTTTACAAATATGAGAGGACGAAAAGCGAATGTCCAGCACTTTAACAGGATTCCAAACGAATGATGCACATGGGCTCCAGTATCCTGCGGGAAGGAGTGGCGTATGAACCAATTGGTGTTCACCGGCTTCCATGGAACTGCATCTTCTCACGATGCTACACTGACTTGTGGATCAGACCTTCAGGTCGAAGGCTCTGGGTGTGGCCCCCTAAGAAAACCACTTGTTTCGGTTTGGGAACCTGGGGAGTATCACAGCCCACACACATATCGAATGAGATTTGTGTGGCGCATTTGTATTTGGTGCCTCCTTGTACCAATATCTATGTGTTAAAATAAAATAAAAAAATAATAATTTGTCTCTAAGCTAGAAGGAGTGACCTCATTAGTGTATTAACACCTGTTTCTCATACCGTTTGTTCTTATTCTGTTCATCTTGTAACAAGTTTGATTTATTAATCTTTGACAATGTCTTATTTCATCAACGATCAAAACATTAAGACCCATATATAGTCAATGATTTTTCTTGATATTAGATCTACTTCTTATCCTAACACAATTTCCTTACATTTCGCATCAAATGACTCATGCCTACACTATAAAAGGTTCATATTCAGCATTAATAGCACAATTAGATGATTTATTTGGTACACAGTTATTTTGTGGACCATGTAATATCCAGTAGTTTTGATGTTAAATTATTTCCCCTTGAAGAACATGAAGGAAGCGTTAAATTTATTTTATTTTCAATCGTTGAGATTCTTAAAAATACAGTTTCCTCTTCATTGTCTTCCATCAACTTGGAACCGACGTACTGTGAAATGTCATTTTGTTAAATCTCAAATCTACACCCACGAGTATGCAGGTTAAAGGTCTTGTAATCGTCAGTATAGTTTAATCTCCATGTATTTTAAAATTTTTATCAGTTTCCCTATTATGATGCAGATGATATAGTTATCTTGTTTATATAGTTTATTCAAATAAAAAAATGGTTTCAAGATTCTTATTGTTCACTGACACATGCACTGTATTGTTTGATACTTTTAGTTACAAACTTTTGCTTGATTAAGTTCTCGTTTGTTTCTCATTTACTGTGTTTTGTTTTCAAATATCAATTTCAGTTGCTATTTTTCTTACTCTATCCTTGTGCTAATTTCTCTTCTTGCAGTGATGTGACGTGTGATAACTTAGATCGATACGTTCTCGTGCTAGGTTTTATGTTGACAACTGACCAATGGTAGTTTTGTTTCAGGAGAGAATCTTCTAACTTGTGATAGTTCCTTCTGTATTCAACAATAATCTTTAGCAGAACTTCGTAGTTCAAATAAATTGTTTGGTCAATATATGTATTAGTAGTGTTCTTCATGTATATTTTAAACTGGAAAAAAACACTGTTGGATACCATCTCAGTGGTTTAAAGGTTAGACGTTCGTGCGCTGGATCATGGATATGCGCTGATGAGGATTCTCATACTGCGACAAAACGGCCGTACAGTGCTTCCAGGTTTTTAATGGTGATTTCACGTCGATTGGTTCATTATTTCATTGTATAAAACATTTATAACCTAACTATTACGTTATTAACTGAATAGTTCAATCTGACATCTAATGTAATTGTTTTGACATCACAGTTGATTATATTTGCTGATTTTTTCCCCGGAAGAAATCCGGCTTTGCTGAATTTCACGTTTCTTTTCGTACTCAGGATTGTGTCATTTAGTTTTTTTTCCTGTAAAAAGTTTTGATTTGTCAGCCAAACAAATTACTTCTCAAAATCAGGTGTTTATTTTAATAGAAAGTTTTTTATATAAGTAAACAATTATTTCCATAAATTTTGCATTTATATTTAGGAATGGGAACATGATCATTTTTATACAAATATCATGGTTGCAGATCAATTAAGTGTCCCAGTATTTGTAGTGAATCGATTTACTGGCAGTTTGATGGTTCAAATTACTTCTGAATCTTGTTCATCATGTGGAGATAATGATGGCATTATTAGTAAACATAATCAATACGCTGAAACATCAACTAATAACAATGCAGAAAATAATATGGAAAAGAAAAAATGTGGGCAGAAATCATTTGCTAATATTGGTTTAAACCTGAAACGGAATCGTTCCGGTGCTCAGGTAATATTTTTCTTTGAGTGTGCTCTATTTTTTAATTAGAAATTTGCGTATTGTATTGTTCTTATTTAGTTCATACATCTTACTGATAAAATATTTCGAGTGATTACTGTGTTAACATTGTCATATTTAAACTTAAGTACTTAGATAATTGATTGTTGACTGTCGGGTCATTTCTTTCAATCCTTTGTATATGTTTTTTTGTTTAAATATCCGGGTAGCTATCTGATTTTGAAACTTGATCCAAGTGTTTTGTATTTTTATTATTAGCCTACAAATATGTTCTATCACTAGTATGTTTCCAAATCAAATTCATTTTGCACAACAGTATTCATTCAAAATGTTGTCTGTTACGAACTACTGTTTGACATGACTCATTCAGCCTGTGCTATGTAGCTAGTGGTTTCCTTGTACTCATATATTAAGGGGAGACGGTAGAATGAGTAGAATATTTTATTCTCAGGTTAACAGTAACTACAGTTTGTGTACATGTATGCGATGAATTATGGCAAAGTGAAAATGTAATTATTTATTACTATACAATCGTGATACGTAACGATTCCAACTAAACGTATCTCCTTTACTCAGCTTGTCAGATACTTCCATAGACGCATTAAATAAAAGTCCTATTATTTTTGTGATAGTTTAGTTTGAGTGACAAAACAACATGACATTGTTTTCGTTATCGTTTCCTAATTGATTGTTCTGTTCGTTTAAATGTTATTTTAGATAAATTTCATTAGATATCACTTATATCAAATCTATTTCTTCCCCACGGATCTATAGTCAATAGTCTGAGCTCCTCTGCTAATATTTCAAACCCTTATTCACTTGCCCACACCGTAAAAACAGTTCATCTGTGTAATAGTAGATCAATTTGATAAGGTGTACGATCTATCAGTTAAAGTGGTTCTTTATTCATGTTTATGTTTCCAGAAGTTCAAATACAATAGCTTGAATCTGAGAGTGGTGAATCCCCGTTTATTGATTACCTAGTTAGATGGAAAGAAAAAGGATATTTTAATATAACTTCAGGACGAAAACACTCAAACAAATATGATTTCATAACTTAGCACCTCATCAACTCAAGGATATAAGTTGTTTCAAGTGTTTCAGGAAGGGCACACACATTGTAAAATAAAATTAACGAAAATAACCGGAAGGCTTAAAATAAATAACTATCCTAAAAATGTCCACTAATTTAAAAATAACTTTAAACGTGACGGAAACAGTACTTCAGAAACATGAACTACATTCATTGTCATTCCACACATATCACAAACATAAGAATGTCTCGAAGGTAAAGCATATCACTTTGAATGGAGTCTTAATTGTCTGAATAGGAACAAGGGTATAAGACAAAATTTCAACCTGGTACCAACACTATCCTCTCACTAACTAGTTTGATCGACATATATGTTAATCAACAGTTAGAAGACGGAGTTGATCTGAAAAAATGTGGTCTATTTACGCTATGCATACAACACAAATGTGTCAAGAATTTTTCATCATATAAATGCATCCTTTTTATAATTCATACACCCATTGAACCTAATAATCTTCAGCTGTCTTTATCAATTCATTCGACAACGCAGAAGTATTTCATATAAACGAAATTTTATCGAGTTACTTTATATCAACTAAGATTTTTGTAAATCTCTAGTTTACTAGTATTACTATAAAGTTATTAGCAATGAACAATGAAACGTTATCTGAAACAGTTTTTTTTTTCATTCACTGGAAAGTATAGATTTTTTGGTGATGATAAAATAGTCCTTTATTTTTGTGAACTATTGCAGTATATAACCAGACTAATAGAGGTCAATTTAGTTTATTATCTCTTTATCATACAATAGGTTTGTTTGTGGACACACTTATAAATTGTGTAGTCTTAACTAATGTTATTTTTGTACCACAGTTCTTACCCTCCTTTCTTCATTGTCAGTTGGTGTTTGAATCAATTGTCATTTTGATAGTGGATATTACGTCATCTACATTTTAATAATGAACACATCCTATCTCGCCTCACTTTCTTATTGTGTATTCTTGTTTTACAACCTCTTGTATAAATTACATTCCAATTATGCATAATATTCTTTCGTTTCGCTGAACTTATTTCGAATTGTCATTCAAGCACTGTAAAACGTTCATTAACATAGGCCTTTGTCAGTAGTAAGCATTTCATGCGCATATATATATACTCTGAATGCTTTTTTAGTTAGTCCTTTGTTTACAAAAATTTCGTAGATCCTCCTGCATTGCGCAGTTTTTGCAAGAACTTGAAATCACTTGCGGTTACCAGTTCAAACACAAAGTCAAACTTTTTGTCTCAACAATAAGTTACTCATTACCGTCAGTCAGTCAGAAACAACGTAGAACTTGGTATGTACGTACATCAGTTCGAGTTACCATACAACATTAGCACAGAGATGTAGTTGTCGATTTAAATCCCGTAGTGGTAGAGGTAGTAAGAGCAGTAATCGGAAAGATTAGGGTTTGAAGATGTTATTCAATGGGTGTAACCCAGTGAAATGATTTTGGAAAGAAAAAGGGGACACGAAGAATTCAGAAGATTAGAATTTGGGAGAACACAAATCGTGAATGCACCTGCGCCATTACAAACGATTTCGAGCCATGTCATTCAGGGTCTCTAACCATCGGTTGCTATCATCTCGCGGTCCCCAACCAGGTAGTCTACATCTACCAACATGACTCAGTCCACTTGCCAGTGACTTCATGGACTTGTGCCATGTTTTGGTCTGGCCGACTTTAAATTTCTCCCAACCTACTCCTATACCACTGAACATCGCACGTCGAGGCAGTCGGTCGTTGGGCATACGTAACACATGTCCCAGCCATCTCAACTAATGAAGTTTCACCACTTCATTAATCGATTTGTCATCTGTAAAAGCACGTCAACGATGAAGTTAAACAAGAATGGAGAGAGTGGACAGCCCTGACGAACATCACTTGAGGTAATCAATTCTGATGACAGGTCTCCACTCAACCAGTTGTGTTCGAGTAGTGAGCCTTTATAAGGTTAATGTACTTCTTCGATACTCCTTTCAGTGACAAACACTGCCATAGAACCTCACGATCAACAGAGTCGAATGACATCTTAAGATTGAGAAATACTACTATTGTGGAGCGTCTGAATGTGTGTCTATGTTCTAGAACCTGACGTTATGTGAATATCTGGTCTATACAGCCACGTCCAGTTCGTGTAGAATGTAAATACTTATATTTTGAGGGTTGTTTGTGAACGAAAATGTTTTTCTGAACGGAATTATTAATTTCACTGAATTCTATGAAGATTGCCTGGATAGCTGTTATTTATATGAACGAGAACATTTAACACATATTTTGTATTTCTTGACCTCTAGTTTTCGTGTGGATTATTATTATTGAGCTGAACTTGAAAAAAGTGTCTGTACTCGGTTTTTGAATGAGTGAAATGACAAGGACAGCTTAAGAGCTTGATTTCTGCTGACTTCTAGAGATTCCTCACACAATATAAGCGAAGATAATACAATGATAGAGCTTCAGCTGTGTCAAAAGCAGTTTACCTTAATTCTGAGAATTAACGTGTTTTTTTTAACTGACTGAATTCAAAATAAATGAATGTATGTTTATATGAATTGATTTTCACTATGTTAATTATATTTCAGGTTTTAGGTTGGTCACGTTTTTGTACTGTTCGTCATACATGGTTATTTTCTAATAGAACTGTTGATTTACTCAAGAAATTCAGTGAAAAATTTCCAGGTGTTTGGGAAAAAGTTTTAAAGTTGTCAGATTCATCTACAAAAAATAATGCATGTATAAAACTTGATTCGTAAGTGTTTTGTATTAGATTTTATCATGTGCATAATTTTTAACACGTTAACTATTCATTAGTCCTGTTTTCTTTAATTCCTATCTGAAGCCATTAGGTGACAAATTCTTTTTCCATATAAATTGTTTTATATATCATATTTCCAAAGTGTACAGCATCTAGTCAGTATTGGAGTGCTCAAATGATCTACTTATCAATAAACAGGATAAGGGCTGAATTGTTATTCACTAATGTACTTCATTAACTAAACACTGAGATACAAAAAAAAACATTTGTTACGCTTTATTGTCGATCGTATTCACTAGATACCATTTTAAAGCAGGAGAAAATCAGATTGCACTATATGTTTCCTGATATTTTGCCGTATCTTTAAGCTCCAACCACTGTTTCAAATCGCACTAAAGTATACTTCAGAGGTTATGAAAGTTATCCTTTAAATGCCTCTATGCATGACATACATCACTGAATATTAATGTTGTCTGGAAATTCTAGTTTTTATATTTGATTCATGTGTCTTCATATCCGCTTCACATTCAGTAGTTTGCGCATACAGATAACTATTAAATAATAATAATTTAAATGTAGTTTATTGTATGACTTAACTATATTAAATAATATATCTCTTTGATATTATAGTATCGTAAAAAGAAGATATTCATTTATTTTTCCATCCCATTTTGTTGTCATGTCACTTCAAAAGGCTATGCATTTTTATTTCGATAGGAAAGAAGTTGACGAGATTATGGAATTTATTGCTAATTCTGAATGTAGAAGTGCTCCAGTTTTACCACAGAAAGGTATCTACTTGGATAAGGAATGGTTACAAAAATTAAAATCATTATATTTTAAAGACATGGATGAAACTGTATATGAACCGTTTGATCGTCAGATTTGGAATAAAAAATCTGCAGTAAATTGTTCACCGACAACTTTGTTTGTTGTGAGTTTTGTGTTGTTGATTTTCTATTCATTCTTGCAATAGCTATTTGTCAACTCTCTACTATATATGTATGTATTTTATACGGAATTATTAGTTGTAAGCGGAACTCATTATGTACACCTTAGTAATATTATAATAGCTATTACTTTTAGAATAATACTCTATTTAATTTGGCCATTATCTTCCATTTTCCATTTTGCCTAAATGCTTGGTCAATTTACCTAGAAATTACTTCCCGTCGATTCAGTAATCGGTTAAAATAAGAACCTAAATTCAATGTGTAAATGACTGAATGTCACCCAACTACATCACAATCTAAATATTGTGATTCTTTTTACTGAATCATCTTTCTAACATTGATATTGATATTTTTGTAGTTGTATCTTGTTCGGTAAACAACGTCATGAATAGTTAATAAATTAAAAGTTCCACTAATTATTTCGTATTACATGCTTATTAATAATATAAAACAATACATGTAATGTTTTCTTTAGTGGTTTAATTTATTTTACTGTTAATGTTTTTTCTTACGTATTATTAACTTACCTAGTCAGTGAATTCAGATACAAGAATATATCCATCCTCTTATAATTTATCACCATTCGATCGTTGTTATTATTCACCAAACTACTCGTCAGTGTTTAGTTCATTCACATTATTGGATAAAGTTGTTTATATTGGGATAGGACAAAATATTCCATTGGGATTACATGGGATTGTTATTGGTGTACCATCTGGTAAGTAATAAATAGATACAAACACTGATTAATGTTATACCGTCTGATTTATAACTTATTCTTATTGCCGAGCATTATATATATGTAATAGTTTTTGTCACAGACTAACTTCAGACTGACAACTATTGAAAATCTTGAAAAACTATACAGCTGTTTCTTCCTAGAGTGGGATTTCACAGCAGTCTTCACCGACGACTCATTCAGGGATACTATATGAAATCATCGTATCCCATATTGTGATCCAACACACTTGAAATACAAATACGTAAAGTTAGAGTCGTATGATAGTTTAATACAAACTATTTTGTGAGCACTTCTTACACGTGCGGCTGTAATTTTAACGCAATTGACTACATTGTACATAATCATATGTAACTAGTCCTGACCTTTCACCTATGTGCACTTTTTATACGCATATTTGTTTATCTCTGTCTGTTTTGATATGTAAGCTGAGGCATAAACTTATTTATTTGGGAGCGGCATAAAACCGATCTCTAGGCATCACCTCTTCATTTTTGCATTCTGCCTGGTTGAATGCAAATGCCTGAAAAAAGTTCCTTCAGAACAATTCGTATTTGGCTTTTTATTATTATCACCATTCCATAATGTTAGCCCAAGTATTTTATTCGAAATTGAATGGGGAATCATGTTTCGTCAGCACCACTATCCGTCTTTCTTCGTCGAAAACAATCGAAATCAACACGTGGTACCTTATGTATTAATGATAGACTGCGACTGTTAAAGATTAGCTATTTCAAAGCAGTAGTAATGAGTAGTAATCACATAATATCACGAATTGATTGAAATCGATAGTGAGTGTGGTAACTCGTTTATCTTAGAAATAACTCTCTCTCTCTCTCTTTGAGACCTGAGAATACGCATTACTAAAGAATGCCATGCTAGAATGAAAAACATTATGTATACTGCTTGATTGTTTCTATTGCTTATAAGATTTCGATTTGGATATCTTTTTTTCAGGTATGTGATAAATTCTTACAAAGTATGAGCAATGTCCATAAATTGCTCAGTAAGTCTCACTAAAGTTGCAGTTTATCAGTATAGGCGTTCAACATTCGGTCACGAATTCTATTTAGGGTACTGTGTTTTTTAGAGCTGTTATACAGTAAGTGTGATTCATTACTGTCTATATACTGTATCGATCACTACGTGATTGTCTAACTAAAGGTGGTTCATAATATGGAACTTTGAATTCAACAATCTGCACAATACTCTGTAATAACAACTCATTAAGTGTCGACATTACACGAGTAAGTTGTAAATTGATGTACTTTTATGCTAATGATTTGTGTATATATCTTAATTTTATCCGCACACTTCTTTTTCATTTTTCTTATATCTTAATTATAAGGTGTAAGCTCTCAAAAGAGTGAACAATTGGTAGAGATCATGTTTTGCCGAACATTCACTGATGCCATAGATATTAGGTTAGTATGTATTATGCTTTTGTCAAATAATTTATGATCACTTATCTTATTTGGAAAAAGTTGTCTATTTATTTCAATCATTTCATTCTTTTTATGTTAAGTTGGTAAACAGGATGGTTTCCGTTAACTTTTATTTCGTCATGAAATTGTTAAAGTTCTCAGTTATTCTTATCGAACTAATATATTTGACTTGTAAAATTGCATTCTAGTAAATACCAAAGTAAACTGAGTTTATTTCAATATTTATGAATCATTGGTTGTAAACGAGGTAATCTCTTGTGTTAAGGCGATTATCAATTTCCGGTTACCCACATCGTGGAAGTATGCTTCCTCTTGATGTACCTGGTAAGGTCTTAACGACTTGGAAATATATTCGTAATGTCTAAAGGATAACTACTTAAGAGATGTTACACAGTACTTTTTGTGAATGGTTTTGAAATTGTTGGCTTCATCCTTTTAAGTCTTCACTGACGAGGATGGAAATTTGTAGAAATATCATTTGATTTGCTTGTTGAATATCAGTAGTATTCTGTGACTGAGTATATATATATTTCAATCAATATCCGGATTCATGATTGTGCTTTAATTAAACTTCAATTTGATCATTTTCATTATGCTAACTGATTTATTTAAATATCATTTTTCAGTCATTTACAAATAGTAGTTATTTTATTCTATTAAGAGTTTTAATCTGTTAGTTTTTTTCCTCAAAAGATTAGTCTTATGATAACTTTATAGCTCATAGTATCTATTGTTATATTAGGTGCTCACAATAATTAGACTGAAACTCATACACATGACTATGCATATAATATATTTCTTCACTAGAAATGTGTATGGAATTCGGTCGATGTTTTGAGATTGTTTCACAAGAAACACAATGTGTGTGCGCATATGTATATTTGTATTTTTTCTGCATACCTGTTTTCATCGCAAGCACTAGTAACAGTGGTAGTAATAATGATATAATCATTCTGTTTTTATAGTATTAATTGTGATATAAAAAACTGTTATGATTTAGATTAGTCTTAGCTGTTGTTGCTTTGATTATCATTGTTTGATTTACAAATTCTAGTAACACCACGTTTTACTAACCTTGTGATTAAAAATAACTTGAGGCGTAAATTATGCGTCTTGTTAAAAAAAATAACTGAATCATTTTATTTATTCGCTTCATGAAATTATATTAGGGATTTCTAAAAAAGCAATACTAGTTAACTAGCCGATTTGTAAATTAGGTAGCTCAAATCAGGTCACTTATTATTTATTTAAACTCATAAACATTGGTGCAAGTAGGTACCAAATATATTTGTACCACACTTCATCAGTTGATTTGTGTGAGGGCTGTGATACTGCCCAGGCGCCAAACTTAAGTGGGTGGTTTTTATATGGGGCCACACTCGGAACCTTTGACCCAAACGTCTAATCCACGAGGCGGTGGAGTAACGTTAGGAGATGCAATCTCATGGTAGCCTCTGACCAACAATTGGTCCATACGCAATTTTTTCTCTCAGGATCTTGGGGCCAATGTGCACCACTGGCTTGGAGTCAGGGTTTTCCAACTCCCCTAGGTGTACCACTTGTGTCCACTGATCCGGTTAGAGCTCCGGACAGTCGCTTTTGGTCCTCCCAATTTTGTAAACAACACCCCGTCTCGAGAAGGCAAAAAGTAGGACTTCCCTGACTGTGGCTGTATATGTGTGGCCATGCTAGAACATTTCAAGAGAGAACGAATTCTTCCAACCCTCTACGACACCAGGGCATTTGTGGGCCACAGATCAGGTGAGAAAGCAGAAAAAAGTCGGAGTAGCAACAGGAATGAAAGAACGGTGAAGTTTGTAAGAGATTATTCTAGGAAGATGTCCAGTTGGTTTTTTCAGTGTATTGTTTTCATCTTTTACAAATACAGTTTGTGATGTTACTTAAAATAAATTGGTTTACCCTACCTAAGTATTCGTTCATTACATCTGTTTTAACTGGAACAAGATATGTCTATTTTTTAACCGAACAAAACTGATGTTGCTCAGTGCTAAGAAGAAAATGAGGCTGCAGATATAGTCGTTTATGCGCCAGCTATAAAATCTACAAACTAATCAACAATTACATTAATATACAATACAGATTGAATACATTGAGCTGTTCGGTATTCAATTTACAACATGCATAGATTAATAAATATATCTAATAAAATAACTGAGTTACATATTTGATCTTTCCTAGCAGTCCTGATAAATATTTATCACCAACATATCTGTCAATGGGTACGCATTTTAACTATGAATAGGTAAAATTGAAATAAATAACTTCAGTGACATGAATTTCCATTATTCAATAGTTCTTTAATCTAAAAATCATTCCATTTCCTAGGTTAGATAACAGATATATATTTTCGAGTTAAAACTTTTACTGTCATTCTCGGTGGTATCATTAATGTTTACTTCAAATTAAGATGAAATTTCAAAAAAAAACATTTTGCAAAAATCACCGGTCTCTTTTTTCTTTAATGATCTATAGTTTTCTAATATCAGTCTCTAACTGTTGAATTAATCAACAATTCTTCTTTGTCGAAAATCAATATTACTAACGTATCTCTTTCCGATTCTGTTTTGTTTTTCATCGTCATGTAATATTCAATACTTTTGTTGTGTAAGCCTACTGCAATTGTTCCACATTCAAGTATAAACCACTTTTACAAGTTGTATATTTCCATTTACAATTATAGTTGGAAAAGGTGATATTGTTACTTATTCATGTTCTGTATCAAAAACTTAACTCTGACTGGTATGTGGTGAAATCTTTTCTTTTTCAAATTTCCTTGGATAGATTCATAACTGAATGCAGTGGGTTTTTTTAAAAAAAATCTATCTAAGAACATTTTAACAATGTCAAGTGATTAATTTCTTTTTGTTTATTAATTAGATTGTAAGTATAATTTCTTCGCTTTTATTATAAATAAAATAATCACGTCAATAAAACTATTGATTTTTTATTATTGTTTTACATTCTATTTAGCTATGTGCACTGGACTTTACACTTTAATATAACCTTAACCTTTATTGTTTATCATTTTCAATGATGATTTTTTCGATATTATAGTGTACTTAACTATTTGTCTATAAGTCATATTTCGTAACTTAATTAAGTCTTTTTTTTCTCTTCCAGGAAAAATAATCTAATTAAGTTAAACGAATGTATATGTACCTCTGTTATTATTAGTTAACATTTTCCTTGCCGGTAGTAGTTCTAGCAATGCTGTTTAAACAAATTATATTCAATTAGTTTTGGAGTAAATTTGTTTTAATACACATGGTAGTGTAATCTCTGGCGAGATGCCTAAACAAATAGAAGTAGTAATCACAATAAATCCTTAATTGTTCTTTGTTTGATATGATAGAATAGAAATGTTTCTCTCTCTCTCTCTCTGTTTCTTGAAATATATGTATCGTTTAAGTAAAAGGGAGAATGTAAATAATACATTTTATTTTTTTAAATCAATTTTAAGAGGATCAGGTCCTGTTTGTGCACTGGTACATCCATCAATGTTACTCAGACTACCAGAAAAATGTGATGATAAACATCAGTCAATCTCTCAGCCGAAATTAACTAGACCAGTTTCGAAACCTGTTCAAGTTTCATGGATTACTAAAGGACCTCCACGTAATTACCGTCCATGGCCAACTAATAATAAATTTGATCAAAATACCTCTCATAAAAATAAAATGGATGATTCAAATCATAGTAATATATCAAAGGCTAATCCCGTTCACTCATGGAATTCATCTAAATTGAAAACTAAACAAAAACAACCACCACCACAACAGTTACAACAACAAAATATTAAGGTTTGTGAAATCTGTGTTCACTTGTTCGGTTTCATAATGCCAATATGTTTCTTTTTAAATACTGTTGTTTTAAGCTGTTATTGTTCGGTATCATTCCCAGATGACATTATTAATGTAACATAAATTGGTCGTAATTGTTTAGAAATAGATCAATCTAATTGTGTCAGATCCTCATGTGAACTTTAATAGACACAATTATTTTTGTATTATTGATTCTCTAATCCTCTTAAAAAGTCTCTTTTTATTTGTTCCATTATTATGATTGTTTATTCTCATATTTAAGTACTGTGTCATACATTGATATATATCTATATCTGTTTGAACCATTTATTGTTGGAATATCTCAAATAACCTGTATGGTACATTCAATTTTTTAAATGATTCAATAGTCATGAACGTTTATGGCAACATTAATACATATCATGTTTTGTTTATATTTGTCATTAATTAATTAAGTATTTAGTCTACACTAAAATAATTAATTGATTCGAGATAAATGATCATGAACTGTTTAAATAAGAGTTAAAAGGCATAAGAGAATCAGCTGTACATCATTTTTATATCAATATCTTCAAAGTATAAAATATATTTAAAAACAATCATTTAGAAATAAGAAATGATAAAATTGAATGAAGAGTAATTAGTGATTAAGTCAGTTTGTTCAATTTTTAACTACTCACTTAATTATTTTTACTCTTAATCTTGGAAATAAAATCCAGTAGTTATGTTATGATTTAATAGAAAATACTTTCCTTTATTTTCATCTACTTCGTTTTTTACTATTTTGGATAATGGTATTTTATCCACACTGACACCTACTTCGATTTCTGTTATACTGTATTATAGGCTACTTATGTTGACAGATTAAGTAGTATGTCAGTCAGTCAGCTACAACGTAGGACCAGGCACATATATGCATCGGTCCAGGTTGCCACAACTCATTAGCACAACAAGATGAACACCAAATTCATAGAAGTAGTTACTTCAATGGTAGTAATGTATAAAAGAAAGACTGTGTATAAGGATATAATACAGGAAGAAAGGATTAGTACGTAGAAATAAAGCAATTTCAATCTCACAGTTTGAGGGAAAACAGAGAGTGTGTACACCTACGCCACTGTTATCGATTCTGAACCATATCGCCCAGTAGTGTGTAGCACCAATCGGCAGTTTAATACCTGTCAGCAGAAGACTGAGCTGCTTGAATTGAAGAAAACAGAGAGGAATTGTAATACCGACCGAATTTGATGAAGTATGTACAGATAAACTGAAGGAAGATGTACAAATTACGTATCTAATGTATGATTTTCATATTTTATGGAATCACCATGTAATTTTACATATAATAAACTGATCTTCCCCACCTGAGCTTTCTTCACGACAATAATACTAACTGCATTAAAAAAAGGAAAACTTTTTATTTATTCTATGATGTATTATATCCACTAAAGGAGTTTTTAATGATTTCTCAGTCATTATTTGTCATCAACTGATACATTTTGGTTAACCAGAATACACATTTTGTTTATGTTTTGTCGAAGTTAAGTACTTTTCCTGGTTGAAAATCTGTCTGTGTTAATAGTTTGTTTACCTACTATTGAAACTTTACTTTCGAATTTAGAGAGTGTATGTTGCAGTTGAAAATGTTTTTATAGCTGCTCTCATAACAATGGTCTTGAGATTGACAGTTATCTGATGTGTATCGACTTTGGACTATCTATCACTCGTTCATTGAGTAACAATGTCACTGCAATCACATAGATTTATGTCTGGATGTTGTCTTTCACATAATTCTGTACACCTTAGATTGGAAACTACTTTTTATTGTTTTTTAGGATGCATTTAAATGTTCTGTTAGTTGGTTTATTCAATTACGTATTAAGATGTACGTCGAATGTATCTTTCCATAACTTCACGCAAATATATACAACTGCACTAAAGTTTCATGTATATCGGTATAAGGTTGCGGAGATAGTTGAGTTTCATTGAGATCATGAACCGATTGATGTTAAACCACCAGTGCTCCCAGGTTTTTACGTATGTGTTTATCTCTTTTTTTAGCCTGCTAAAAACCTATCCTCAACGGGAAAAGATACGATAAACAAGAAAACGCAAGGTTAGTTAGTGTATGATATTTTTCAAACATTTACTGACATTCTACTTTCTAAATATTGACTATTATTATCAGGTGTATAGTCATTGCGAATATGTAGATAAAATTTTGGAGGGATAACCGTTCTCAACATTTATAAACACATAAGCATTGTATTACAATTCTCAGTATAAAACATGGAATTTATGTTTAGATTAATTAGTGTTATTCTCCAATAGACTCAGTTAACTCATCTTTATATATGCCGTATAAGCATTTTATGCAAATAAATCAATTTATCTATTTTTAACTTATCAAAATGATCTGTTACTAACAAAAGTTTTATAATCCATAATAATATATACACGAATTTTTTTCAATCAATCTGATATTATAGGTGATCATCTAAACCTTGCTTACTTGTGTTGTGTTTTTTCAACCAGGTCATTTCATATGTCATTCAATTCTAGCATTCGTCCTATTATTTTTATTACTATGATTGTATGCTTGTGTTTTCAGATTTTAGCGATTACTTCGTTGAAACTCACATATAGTTCAATTTAGTACCTTGTATTTTTCATCAACCAAAACACTTATCACTATGCTTTTTATGTCATTTGTTATTAGTAATGTTTCAAGTCCAGTTGAACTGATCTACATATATGGTAGACTCGGCATTCTGTATGACCAACTGACTGAATTCCATTCGGTCTTTAAGGTCAATAGTTGTAGACGAATTACGTTGCTGAGAGAATCCCTGTCAACGATACATGAACATATTCTTTATTTTTACATATTGAATTCCGATATTCCTTCGTGTTTTTATTCTTAGAATTAATTTTTTTCCCAACCATACTTGTTTGTTTTCTGATAATTAGCGACACCATTATTATTTCTATTATATTTAATATTCAGCATGTTGACTTAATCTCAGTGTACTGTTGCAACTCGAGCTAATAGTCACTTAATATATTATCCTGTGAATTTTGTCTGTTTGATTATTTATAAATTATTTTCTGTTTTGTAAATATTTACTATATTTGTTAATAATATTTCTTAGAAGTAGGTTTTAATACGTACAGAATGCTCTAATTAACCCGTTATTTCAACAAAATATATCAAATCTTTAAAAAAGATACTTTAAAGATATATATTTATTGTGATGCATAAGTTTAGATTTGAGTTATTTTGTATTTCAATAATGTCGTTTCTCAACGGAACAACTGCTTTGCGTCTTTTGAATTCCTGCAATATATATTATATCCTATGCTTAATGGATCAACAAACTGTGATTGATCCACTATCATTTTGTTTCTTAGTTTTATCAATTATTTTGTAATTTTTTTACCTTTACATATGTATATCTATACTCGTTGAATTAATCATTTAGTACATACAGCTTGCTAATCCCCAAAATAGTAGCCTCAGCTTTTCTGGATCAGTAATTAACCCAACAATTGATGCTGAGATATTTTAGAGTAATAAAGAAGTTATTATTTATAAACAAACAATTTAAGCACAATAATTTGAATATGTCAGTTAGGAAATGCAAAACAATGTCAATATTTCATCAAATGTTAAACAGTCATAATAAACCATCGTTTCTATTCATTTCCATTGTGTGATATTTATGTTAATTTTATTAGTTGATATTATGAGTCAATCGAAGCTAGACCATCATGGAAAACATGGAAGCAATGAACGGCGTTTTCGTCCCACAGTAGGAAGAAACGGTCGTCCAGTGCTTCCAGGTTTTCCATGGTGGTCTAGCTTCGATTGACTCATAATATCAACTATTAAAATTACTATAATATTCACAAAACCCCTTCTGATGTTTATATATTACATTTTGTTTTAATATATCTACTGTTTTTGAGACCAAATCAACAATTACCATTTCGTATAACTTACAATAAGGATCTAATCATCTAATAGTTTTACATTGGACAAGATGCAAAACGGCATTGTATAATGAATCTTATGATGTGTTGTTGAAAATAGTTCATATGTATTATTATTATATAGCCAAATACTTACATGTTCACGATTTCATTGACTTATTTATATTGATCAAATTGAATAGGTTATTTATTATTAGTTACACAAATGTTATTTAATACAACAGTAGTTATAATAATCAAATCTATTCAGAATATTTAATAATATATTACTCAGTATTCAGCATATATTTGTATTAGCTAAATTTAGCAAAATTACTACAGAGATTATTCACCTCCTTTTCATATTGATCTTAATTATCATGTAAATTATTCTAATGATATATTTATGTACTCATATTTGTAAAGAATACAGTCAGTCAGGAGGTACCTGAAAAGGAAATTGGATTAGTGGTGGTCTTAGTGACCTGTGAGCGTGACCGCAGTGCCCAAGGAACAACTGCTTGAGGTCGGTTACACACGACCTTTTTATAGGTAATTTTTGTGTTAGCTCCGTATTTGTTGAGACCTTACCGCCGGAGACGGATATCAGTGGGATAAGGCGAGGTGTGCATTTTTAGGGCCGACCTTTTCTAACCCCACCCCTCCTTGTAGGAAGGCAACATCGCTGTCATGCTGGTTGTCTGAAGGAAACACCTTACTACTGTCACACCTCTGTACAGTCAGCAGTACGACTTCGCCTTCGGACCTTGGATTTGTTGCTTTTAGTCTTACTGCTCTTCAACCGACATGTCTGACATAGCAGAACTTTGAAGAACCATTGTTCCAGCTAGTATAGCTCGGTTGCTTCATCACGATAGGCAAGCCCGACCACCACGTCAAGATAGCAACAACGGTCGGGTCTAAAGAATACACTCACTATAGAATTTTGAAAAGTATTTTCAACTTTCCAATTTATAAGTTTTTTTTTGAAAATCAAAATATTTAGACTGTGCTATATTATTGATTGTAAAAATTCTATTTGTGCTGTGCAAAAACAATATCCCTTAGCATTTAATGTTTTTTTTTCAAATTGTCACTAAGGTTTCAACTTTTATCACAATAGTATCTACCTTTTTAAACTAAAATGCATTATTCTATTTTTTTTCAAATTTTTATCAGAACTGGATTGTCGGCCACACAATGTTGATACATATTCCACTTTTCCTAATTTACCGAATAAATTTAACCCTTCGCGAAGCCTAAGTGAACATAACACAAGTCTAGATGATAACAACGATAATGTAAGTCTGTCTAATTTGTCAAATGATGCAGAACATAATTCACAGTTTTGGACTATGCCAAGTCCACCGGACGTACCTCTCCCTCCATCTTATTGGTCTAATATTAGCAAGCCTACACACGACTTGAAATTAACTAATAAGACTAAAGATGATAAAGAAAAGAATCAACGGAGTGGGGACGAAAAAAGTACTGGTTCGTCTAAGATTAAATCTCGTTCTCGTAATTCTGCAGAGCGTAATCAAAGAAGTTCTATTACTCGTTGGGATAATCGTCAACGGTCAAACCACAATAGTGAGGTTTGTCAGAAAGCACCAACTCCAGTCATGCCGAAACAAATACCAATGCCCGATTTTGAAAGACAAAATCTTTATAGACATCCGAACATGGATCAGTATCCTCCTCTTAACCAAATGCAACCTCGATTGCAATCTGCATATCAACCACTGCCATTTCTGCAGTTTCAACGGGTAATGCCATCTGCAGTATACCCGATTAATATGATGACTCCGTATCTGTATGATCAAAGAATGCCTGATTCTTCTTATATTTCATATCCTTCCTATTCCCCTTTGCCTATTTATCCACCTAACTTTGTAAATCGTGCACCTATTCCTCAGTTTCCATTGATGTCGAATCCTAATGCTCAGGTTTTTAACTCTACAATGAACTACGGGAATACTCACCGGTATGTTAATTCATTACTTTTATTTTATTTATTTGAACACATAAATATTGGTACAAGAGAGCGCCAATATATATATTTATTTACTATATTGTTATTTGCATGTTTTAGTTATTCGTTCATTCATTAAATCACAGAATAGTAGGTAAATTAATATCTGCTCTGGGAAAAATTTATTCGACTTTACATTAGAAAAATCATTTGCTGCAACTATTGAATTTATTTTCATATGCATCTAAACGCTTCATTTTTTGTTAATAAATGAACAAAGATAATCTTCTGAATGTGTTTACGTTATGAGTATTCTATTTCTAATGTCTGTTGAAAAGATCAGTGAATATATTCATAAATATTTTTTAATTAAATTTTTATCTGAAAATAACACTGACATTTTTTTAACAATAAGAAATGACTTGTTGCATAGTCAACCTTAAAAGAATAGACTATTGTTTATTGATTTTCTCATGAACAAAGTGTTTCTGTCGAAAAAACTATACTTCATTATACTATCTATCAAAATGGTAAAGATAATATTTGTTCAATTGAAAGCATAAATATGGAACAAATCATATTCGGAAATTTCAGTGAATATAACAGATAATTAGAAGTGTTGGTGATATAGTTAGAAAATAAATCTAAATGAAGTCAACCGGTGAATTTTTGGTTGATTGCTTTTGTACTTTTGAAAAATGTGTTTGCTTTTTCCTTGGAATCTGTACATCTGAGTGCTGTGCAAAATAAACTATATAGATGGTGGTTGGAGGTAGTCAACAGGAAACCCTGGACCCGGGTTTCGTGCCACTCGTCAGCAAGGCATACTTTTAATCTTGACGGAACTGGTGCTCCCTGACGAACTCGATTGCGTGTCACCCAGCTTTACAGTTAGAGACGTCAACACTGAGCTATCCGGGCTGCGACCGACCTCCTGTAGGACTGAGATGTAATTACAATTGATTGATCACCACCCAGGAATTTTAACTAAGTCATCAATTTAAAAAAAACATTAGATTGTCAACTAGAATTTGGAAGATGTGAAATTCTCATTGCAATTTCCGGGCTCGTTATTTTTCCACTTTTTTCGATAGGTTTAACAACCCGCCGATGCAATCATATGGAGAAAGAAACAGTCAGGATTCTTTCCGTCCTCCTGTTAAACAGGATCTACCATCTAACCGACCAACTACATCTCATCATAATGCTAATCAGTCAAGACGTTTTATTCCTCCTCAGGTTAGTGTGTATTCTATGATTTCCTAAACTGTACACATTCTAATTAAATAGATTCGCGCTTCACTAGAATGATAATGATGTTTCTTTTCGAAATAAGTAAATTATATACATTTATTTATCTCATGTTCAACCACATTAATATCAGTTCAGATTGTGATGATAGGTACGCGGGATGGAATTATCACATGTTAATCAGATTCGTACATGATAGCCTCAAATATGATATTTTATCGTTTGCTTATCTAGTGGTGACTTTAATTTACTGAATTGTGTTTTCCGGGATTCCCACCTTAATGTCCCAGGATATACGAGCAATGTTTCGATCATAGGTGTCTTCGAAACATTGCTCATATATCCTGTGACCACCAAGTAAGTAATGCAGTTGATAAGAAACGGGTATTAGGCCAGGATGGCAAATCAATTGATGAAGTACTAAAACTCTATCAGTTGAGATGCCTTGGGCACGTATTACATATACCTTACCACCGACTGCCCCGGCGTGCGGTGTTTCATGGTGTAGGAGTAGGTTGGAAGAAAGCTTGGAGCGGACAGACCAAAACGTGGCACAAATCCATGAAGTTATTGACAAGTGGACTGAGTCATGTTGGTAGGTGTAGACAACCTGGTTTGTGTCCGCGAGACGATAGCAATCGACGGTTATAGACCTTGGATGACGTAGTTCAAGATCATTTGCAATAGTGCAGGTGTATTCACTATTTGTGTTCTGCCAAATTCTAATTTTCTGAATTATTCGTGTCCCTTTTTTTCTCTTTCCAAATATATTTCACTGGATTATACTCTTTGAATAACATCTTCAAACACTAATGTTTCCTATTACTTCCTATACTTCTACTACCTCTACGACTACGAGATTTGAATCGACAACTGCATCTGTGCTAATGTGGCGGCTCGAACTGATGTACGTACGTACGAAGTTCTACGTTGTTACTGACCGATACCTTAATGTGTGTTAAACTTGAGTTGTCACTCGTTTAGCTTCCGTAGCATTAGGTTTTTAAAATAATCTAGAGTGATTAGTTAGTGCCTATGTTTAGTTTTCAATCAATAACACCAGGTCTAAACCCTGACATTTTTACTACAGTTTGAGCAAATGAACAGTAATATTACAAACTTTCATATAATACAGTGTTTCTATGTATATGAGTTTGTACTTGGTTAATGAATTAGATTATTTGGAATTTTTTTGCTAAAACGTATCGAAGTCAATCAATGTTATCAAAAGTGAATCAGCTTACAGACAAACGTGTTATTACACAAGATATTCATATTCAGGCTGTTTATGATTATTCTTAAGAGAGCAGACAGTTGTCAGTGTCAATTAGTAAGATAAATATCAATACAATTTCGCTCAAATTATTTTGACTGGTATGGTAACGCAGCAGACATCATCAAAATAAAGATCCTAATTTACATTTCGCATATTGTATTTAGACTAATCGCACTTGTACAACACGATGTTATATTCCAAGCAAGCGTATGTAGCAGCTAGACAAAAAGTGTGCTAGAAGGTATATGTTTGGATTGATCGGATGAATCAGTGTATTAATAAGTGACTCAGTTTATATAACTTTACATTTAGTGCAATCATTAAGTATCCAGAATTACATGCAGACAAACTCTGACACGTGGAAAATATGATGATGTGATTAAAATTGCACATGTCTGATGGTCTATCTGGTTTCATTCTTACATGTTATAGGATAGATTTACATAGGTTACTTGAAGGTCTCTAGAATGCTGATTACTGTTTCTCTTTATCTTGCGTTTCTAGGCCTTTCATTTCCTAACTTTGTCCATATCTACAACCTTTTATAAGAATCATAATTTGGGTACAGTAACTTAACGGATTGAATTTATCGAAAGTTGAATATCGTTATTATCTCTTCTATTTTTCCTTAGGTTTCACGAACGCGTCGACCTTGAATTGCTCGTTCTTCTTTTAAGGGAAAGTCATTTGTTTCTTTTCCAAACTTTTTCCAGAACATTTTTTTTGTTTAGATTCTCTTAAAATGTATTAAAATGTTTATCGAATTGGGACTGATATAATTTATTTAATAATGACTGCTTTTTTACGAGTTGGTTTTTATCCTTTCAAAATTCTTTGATTGTTTGTTTATTAATTATATTTGTATAACATCTTTTTCTAACAACTAATTTAAAAGACTTAATTAAAATACATGTTCAACTCCATAAATGTTATCCTTTTGAATGTATGGAGACTGTATGTGAATAAATTGACGATTTCATGATGTCTTCTGTGCTGTAATTGACTGATATCATACGAATGATCCTTACTTCATTCGACAACCACCAAATCTAATTTAGCAAATAATGGTGCTGTTATTTTCTATGTAAATTGAACACACAAATTAACAAATTAGTAGATAAATAACGACAAGTTTGCTTATACTAAACACATTGCTAGTTGTTAAACTATTTAAGAACTTCTTACAGATTATAAATTGTAATTTTTTATATTCAATATCCAATCTCTTTTAATTAAAACGTCGCCAACCAAAAATAAAGAGCGTAGTACAAAAAAGTTTTTTTTTCAGAAAAGAGAATGACTTGAACCGTAAAAATTAAACGAAGTGTAAAATCAAACCTGGTTCATTTTTCCAAAAAAATAATAAATTTAGAGGTAAAAGCTATTTACTTCAGTACGATATTATAAGTCGAATGAACATTTGGATATATACAAGCAAAGGATTAAACAATACGAGAATATAGATTAATGAAAATGAAACACCTTAAAAATTAAGATATGCAAAACAACGAAATTATAAAGAGTGATTACTATTTAATTATAGTGTGTTCTCTTCTAGATCTTGCTTTCAATTAATAAAGCCATTTAGCTGGTACCCATTGTGGTTCTGTTAGTAAATTATTTAAATGATAATTTAATTGTTCAAAAGTTGTTTCAATATTATCACATAATAAAATTAAATCCATGAGATAATTGTATTCACGTTCTATGTAAGTACTGGTTTCAAGTGTTTTACGAAATGTTTCATCCTGATTGATTAGAAAAAAATATTATTAATATTTTAGGTGAAATATAATGACAATAGCTAAAATTATGGTATAACATCAAACTAATGACTTTTATGTTTCTATGCAAAAGTCAAGAGTTTATGTGACGTTTAACGTTATATCAAGTAGAAATCATAGTAGAAATTACGATTATATAATGATAAGATTGTTAAAAATGATCACACGAAAAAAATGACTTTTTTTTTACAATTTGAGAATGGTATTGAAATTGTCAATAATTGTTTGAAGTGGAATTTTCCTATGCATAAATTTTTTAGCCAGACATTAACAGTTTGCACCAGAATAGTTATGTATAATCAAATAAAATTTCATCGTTGAGACTCAAAATAAAAATGTTAAATAATTGTAGTCCGCGAAAAGCGAACAGTGCAGCAGTAAAAAAAAACCGAGAGTTATGACATCCAAAGAGATGGGCAATTAATGATTACATTTAGAAGAAACGCTTCAATTTCATGGCAAAATATTTTTTTATTAGTGTACAGTTATTGACCTCGCATATGATCGGTCTCCATAGTTGTTTCAAATAAGCTAAACGCTGTTATCAATAATTGACTGTTGGAAAGTTTTTAACTACTGAATATTATTTGAACATAAGTGGACTTTGCTTCATCTTGACTGTACTGTGATTACTCGTTACAACTAGTGTAACCACTATTGGTATATTTTTATAACAGTGCGAAACAAACCGCTAAGTGTTACCATCATTACACAATAATGGTTATCAAGTTTGCAAAAGAAGCTTATCGGAATGTGGAAGCGCTGGTAGAAAACAATCATCAGACAGTTTTGAATTATTTTCTTTCTGTTGTTTTAAAGTTCGTGTAATTTGTTCACTAGTTCTTAATACATAGACAAAAATATTGGTAGTAGAACTAACTAATTTGATACGCTTCTAATTTTAGGTAGATTAATGTAACTTAAATATTCTTTATTTGTGCATATATCCTAAACGAATTTAAATAAATGGGGTTTGTTATAAAAGTAAATTTTACAGATCCACACATAATCATAATTGGAAAATCAATCATTAAATTCATAAATAAAACATACTCTTTTCCATTTCTCAGTGAAACCCATACTCATGCCATATTCATACATTGCTTTCATACAACTAACCGATGGAGCAGCAAGAAATATAACATAAGGCATAAATTCTGAATTTCTTAACTTGGACACAGCTTGTACCGAACAATCAAGTAAGCATGTACGACCTGATTGTACTACTTCCCGGATACTATCATATTTTGTACCATAGAAATTATTTTCATATTCGCCGAACTTCAATTTAAAAGGTGAAAAATATACATGGATAGAAATAGCAAATGTATTGATATACAATCACTTTTTCATAGAATTACTTTATTCAAGAGTTAAACTGAGAGTTCTCACCATAACTTCCTAAAATGTATGATATAAAAAGTTACAGACCCTATCAGAATTTCCTTTATAATCAAATACTTATTGTTTTAAAGTGTACGTAAGCTGTTCATTACTTCTAAACACATAGAAGACAGTATTTGTACTAGTAGTAACGAATTTGATATACTATTAATTGATGTTGATAGTTGGACCAATGTAATTCAGCTCAAAAATATTTTCCATTTGTACAGTTTTGCAATTAGATTCATAGAAAAGAGAACTCATTGTTTAATTCATCATATTTTATAACTAAGCATATACAAAATCTAATATGTTCTACAACATGTCAGTATGGATAAAGTAAACTACAAGTTGTAAAAGTACAAAATCAACTTAGGATTTCAACGCTAAAACACTGAATTTCAGAATTGTTTTCTTTAGTTATTGATATTGCATTATGAGAGAAAATTTCACTACAGTAATTTCAATCTTTTCTCTACATTCTAACCAGTTAACATAAATATGAATAGATCAGTGATATGGGAAAAAAATAGGTTAATTATTTTAGTGGGACCTGAAATAAACTCAAGAAATTCATGCAAGATGGACAGTTTATGAAGATAACGTAAAAAAGGAAAGTTTTTTTAAGTAGGTCAAGCGTTTCAGGGAGTGCTATGAAAACTGGAACTAGGATGAAAAACCGCGAAGACTGTTGAGTTTACGTGCTATTTTAAATATATCCGGTCTTCTGTAGATCTTAGCAGATTCACTTTCCAGGTAAAATGGACTAAACCCAAAGAAATTTTATCGTGGGCACAATTATAGCAAAACGTGGAATAGCAAGGTAGTTGAAGAGCTTTACTAACAGAAATAATTTAAACAGTGGAAATGAAGACTGGTAAAATGTATTGCCACAAATGAAGAATATTCTAATGAAGATAAAATTGATCTACGCTAAAGTTTTTTTTCTGAAATGACTTTCCACAACCTCAATTTTTGTATAAATTGAATAAAATACTGAAGATCAATCTCCAGTAGTTTTTCCACAACAATGAGAACCATCAGTGAAATGAGATTCAAACGTTATTCAATAATTTTTTGTTGAAAACCTAACTATTATCATGTATTTTCAGTTCAGAAGAAAATTAGATCAGTAACGTAGATAAAGAGTATACACTACACTGAATTAAACATACGGATAAACTGTAGGAAATCATTTACCACTTCATGTCTATTATTTAGAAAGTTATTCGTATATACTGATTATAATACGTATGCAAAACATATTGACATCCTACAAGAAAACAGAAGGAAAAAGACTTATAATAGATGTGAATCACCAATGATTTCTGCCCTTGATATGTGATTTTGTTGTTTTAATAGACGATTCATTCAAACCAATATTTGATTAAATCAGTTAACTTATTTTATATAAAAAAGTATGTGAAGATTATTTACAAAATTCATAATTTATCTCTGTATTCTACCCGATTAAATAGTGTTTATTTCTGTGTAATCCAAGCACAATTTTGGTAGAAATGACTTATTTTTATTATCACTTTAGAAATATCCTCTTCTATAATTTCATATTTAAATCATCTAGCAACATTCTTAGTAATGTTTATGTAATAAATAAAACTAATTCATTAATTCACCATAGAAAATTTGAATTTACTTCAAGATATTTATTTTTCAAATTATCCATTTCCATTTTCTCTTTTGATTCAACAATAAATTCACCATCATCCTCTTCTCCAACATCTAATTCTTTTGATGTATCTAAGGTCAATGAAAAGAAATAATAAATAAACACGAACTAATTTTAGAATGGAGTAATTTAGTAAAAGATAAAATAGCTAAAAAATATTCATTGACGTGGGCGGTTCACCGAGATTCTTCAGATGAATCTTATATATGGAGAATTGATTTTAGATGTTAAAAAAAGAATCCTGCTACACAGCTGTCTGATTCTACTGTGCGAGGAGATTTGAAGGTAGAATATATATGTAACACACAAATCAACCCTGAACCAAATCTTAATTCTTAACTTCTGATCCTAACTCTAACCAGGAAAAATGTGCAAACTCCTAAAAACCTTTCTAGGTCTTAATAAGCGTTTGATTAGACGGATCTACTATATTCATATGAATGACTTAATAATTATGTAAAATCTGTTTGCATCTTGTAATAGAATTGTTTTTTTACCCACAAAGTATTCATTTACAAAAGTTGTTTTTTTATTGGTTAACAGTCGGATAAAATTCACCTCGGTCGTTTTAAACACATCTCTATACTACACTCTTACCGGCTTCAATTCATATTGAGTTCATAAAATGATATTAATTACTGTTGAATAAACTAACTGATATAAGACAAAAGATAATACAAAATAATAATAATAATACAATATACAGTGAAATCTATTCATATTTATGATTACTTGACTGATTGAGATATTCTATACCATAGAATGGTAAAAAAGTAATGAATGAATAAGCTTAATTGAAATAATAAGTAACTGGTTGTACATCAAAATAAAATTCTTAATCAATTTACGTGCAATAGCTGATGCATATCTCTCTCGATTGGCACGAATAAGCATATTACGTAAACTTCGACGACCAACTCCAGGAGCTCCGATTAAACAAATAACAGGACGCTGGAAACCTGATACCATAGCAACTTCTTCATAAAGTACAATATCTTTAGTATCATAATTATCAGCATCTCTTGCACAAAATGGTATAGTAACCTAAAGTTATTCATCAAAAAAATCACATGATTGACCTGAACATTTTTTTGTTCATCAGATTACTCATAAAATGGCGATCTATATTTATCAACTTTATAGAGAGTTTAATCCAAGATAATATGTGCTAGAAATCTTATAAATTACCCATAGAATTTGTTTTTATATTTAACTAGTGCCCTGAAACCATTAATACAAAGAAAAAAAGCTTATGTGGAGTGCAATTGTCAATAATTATAGTGTTTGAAACCTTGGTATTAATTTCTAACCGCTTCTTAGTTTCCCAAAATAATGCTGAACGAAGACAAAAAATGGAAAGCGAGAAAAGAAATTTTATTTGTAAGGTTAA